CGGGGGGCTTCAGCCGTGAGGGGGAGGAGGGGTTGGGTTATTTTGTGCATCACTCCATAGCCACTGCGTTATTGTCAAGTGCTTCTGCGAATCAGGAAATGTTGCAAGTGGCAAGTTGGAAAGGTGGAAAAGGGGAAACATTTCCTCTTACCAAACCTCGAGTTGAGGATCTGATAGCACACATGACATGATCATCAGTTCATCACTATTGGTTTGCCAAGACTGAAGATAAAAATCATGCCTCGTGCAAATAACGAAGCAGGTCCCGTCAAAAGTAGGCAAGTGTACAGAAGAAAAAAAAAGCTTCTTGATTTTCTTTCTATGCAAAATGTACATGTACAATATCGACACCATTCATGTAAGTTGTAATGACTAAACGTGTTCTCAGTATTCAATAGGTGGGAAAGAACCTAATTCTGGAGTGAAGATGTTGACATGGCTCCACATACCCTTGACATTGCAACCGCTTTCATGATGTTAGATTTAGCAGCATCCAGCAGAGGGTCTGCCTGGAGAGCCTTCTCGAAGCAGAGTTTCGCATCCTCCCACTGGCCCTCCGCAACAAACACAAGCCCCAGATTGTTGTACGCTGGAGCATAGCCAGGACAGAGTTCAAGTGACTTGGCAAGCATTGCTTTTGCGCGTTCATACCGTTTTTGCTGTCGATAGAGATTTCCTAGGTTGGAAAATATAGCATGTGCCTGTTGAGATGTGGCTAAAGATAGGGCCCGCTTGTATACTTCTTCGGCCTGTGATGGGTCCTCAGACAGCTGCAGTGAGATACCTAGAAATTATGCAATTGCATATATTAGATCACAACTGGATGTCTAGATGGTATAATACAGCAATTTAAGACAAAAAAAAATGCATAGCAGGAGAATTACCAAGATTTGACCATGCGTAGCTGCATTCTTTGCCGCGGGCAACTGCAGCCTTAAGGTACTTCTGAGATGTCTTGAACTGTAGAGTACAAAGATTGTGAAGGCCAAGCTGATGCCACTGAACTGCATCATCTGGATCCTCTTCTATTGCCTGTTTTAATAAATAGATCACCGTCATGTACTCTTGAATCAATTACTTTGCTCAACAGTGTACAAATAGACCAGTAATACAATCAATCATCAGGCTCTCATAGTCATATGAGAGGGAAGCTTGGCTTGAAAAACGTCTCTATGAAAGCAGTGATACCAGCAATTATTTAAATGGCGTGTCATTCTAATCATGTATACAGAATTACCCTTTGACCAAAGATTTAAATGAATAACCTGGGCAATTTTGTAAGGAAAGTCACTTCATAACAGAAAAAGCAGCGAAGGATGAAAACAATGGAAGGATCTAATACATTACGCACCCCATGTGAAGCAAAAAGTAATGCCAAAACTTTGGTATTGCATGAAAGAAGACTGGTAATGGACCAATTTTACATAAATCTAAATTACCAATACTACAATTTTGGTTTTCAGAGGAACTTGCATGATTACTGGGGCTTATAATATAATATGTTAAAAAACGATTGTTTAATCTGTGTGAGTTGAACACTGGCATAGAGACAAACCTGCTTTAGTGTGTACAGAGCTCGCTCTTCCACTTCCATCAAATCATTATGTCCAGTTTCAAACGTTGCTGCAATTTCATGCTGAGCCTTGTGAACCATGGCAAGTCCTGCCCATGCTATCCGAAGCTCAATTGTTGCAGAGTCCCCTTCTCTGAGTATTGAAGCCATTTCATTCGCAGCCCATGAAAGTTGTTCAGTGGGATNAGCCCATGAAAGTTGTTCAGTGGGATCTTGAGACCTTTCTGCATCCTTGATACRRTGAAGBGCAACAGCATATCGAGTTGACATGCAATTAGGCTCCAGTTTTGCTGCCTTCAGAACATAAGCATATTATAGGAACGTTAGGCAGAAACTAAGAAATATAACTATATCATATACAGAAAAGCATTGCCCAATAATTTTAATGTGCCCAAGCATAGATGTTGCTCATCTATGGGCATAAAGATGCATGTGTGCATCTTAAAACCTCTAGTGCATGCATCTTTATTGACACTGAGCTTCTGCTTTGAAAAAAAGAACTGCCAACATCCAGCATTTCAATTTTTATTTTTTCTGGAAAGAGTAAGCTCTCAGAGAGGGGCCATTACTCAGTGTAATGGTAAAACCTCAGGCCAGTAAGCATGAAAATGCAGGCTGGAATCTGATAGCAGCCACTTTGTGTCAAAAAAAAAAAGTTAGGACCATATCCAGTCTACCCTTCCCAAGACCTCAGATAGCTGGGACTTGTGAGCAACACTGGAAAATGGCCTTTTTTAGTAAGCTCTCAGAGATACATGTTAAATCGGGTGGTCCTTGAGATAAGAAAACAAGAAAAAGAAAGTTTCTGATCTTTTATCATCTCTTTGACTTCAATGGAACCTTGTGCTTTTTATTAATCTCGCTGCAATTAACTTGTAGATTCTCCAGCCAAATGCTGAAAACATGTAAGCTTTTTTTTTCTCAGAACATTCATTAGGTAATTCTAGTATCAAGGATACCTGATGAAAAGTTGCCAATAGGAACATTAAGAAAACCTATTAATGAACTCCAAAGGGCACATATGTAAATAGCAGTAACAATGAGGAGTTGGCACCTTCTCCAGGCACTTTCCAGCACTTCTATGATCACCAGCCAAATAGTATGCATTAGCAAGATTCACCCAGATATGTGCAGCCCTAGGATCTKATYTRAYWRCAGCTAACAAACACTCTTTTGCAACATTTGCAGCCGCAACATGAGGCATACAAGCTCCTTCACCAGCACTTGCCCCAGCACCTAAAATTAGTAATAAAACACTTAGGTTCCTACTGAATCTCTGGAACTGCCAGAGTAGAAACAAGGTGAAGCAACATGTACCACAAAGAAAATAAAGTTGTCTAGTCCTCAAAGCCATTTTCTTACTACCACTCTAATATCAATTATATTGCATCAGGGGATTAGCCAAAAGAACTATAGCAATATAAAATGAAACTTAATTCATCAACTTCGTACCTGCAACAACTGAACCATATTTACACAAAAGAAGAGATGCATAATTGATTAGGGCCGCAGGATGGTTTTGATCTTTTAGAATCAAATCTTGAAAACATTTCATTGACATCTCCAAGCTACCACTGGAAAATGCATTGTGTTAGTAACAACTCAAAACAGTATTTGAATGGAAAAAGCAGGAAACTACTTATACAACCATTCCCTAAGTCTTAACGAGTGACAAATGAAGAAAATTAACAAATTATGGCTGATCATCCAGGTAACTCCAAATTTTTGGTTGAGTATAGCTCTTGTGTCTTTTTCTAGGCAGGGAGCATGGAGGAGACTCTCTTCTGAGACTGAGAGTATTTAAGATGATAATACTTAAATAATCCTTTACACTGGTAGTGAATATCACCTCTGTACGAGTGCATACCAACCATGTCATGCTTCAATATGATACCAATGCAATATCACACTGTAATATTATAACCTTAACAGCTTAACCTAATATAAAATATCAGATTGACACAGCATAACATGCACATATCCCAAAGAGATTCTGTACAAGAAAATTGATACAATATCTAAATAATAAATGATATAATAGACAATCATGATTACTTTTTACTTCACATTTTTCTATTAATTCATAAATTATTACATATTGACTTGCTTTAGGGTTCTAGTTCTCACAAAATTATGTGCTGTACTCAAATCCACAGGTAAAACCTCAAGTTGGTAAGAATAAGAACACAGGTTCAAGTCTGAGAGTGGATGCCTTGTGCTAAAATAGCAAGGTTAGGTCCATATCCAGCCCACCCCACACAAGACCCCAGATAGCCAGGAGCTGCATTGTGTAATGTCCTTTTTTACATTCAATCCATGATATTATTTATGACTTATTTTGTTAACTTTTCTGATCATTTCACCATGTATCAATTTGAGTTAATATGATATTTATTGGCCTTCTCTATCATGTCTGTTTGAGGTTGAACAGGCAGAACAGCCATCAGAGCAATACTTATAAATAAGTACTTAATCATGAACATTAATTAAAAATCATACACCTTATCAAGGAGAAACTCTGTTTGCCAAGAACTGAGCTCCTAAAAGTCCAAAACTAGCTATTCCAATTTAAAGAACTCATGATATGGATTCTCCCACCTCTCCCTTTTATCAAATATTTAGTGAATTATATTTAGATATGGGTCAAAGCTAGAACAAATTGCTCTTCATACTTTCCTCATCCTACCAAAATCACACCTGTTTTTCTCAAGTGATTAATAAGATAAATTCTCATATGTCTGTCTTTTTCTGATGAAAAAAGTGAAACTCCTAAAGTAAGGATGAAAACATGAATTAAGTTGAATACTTGAATTGTGACAAGAGAGAAGGAATTTTTATCTTTCCTCAACTAAAGGAAAATTACCATTTGGGATAGGTTGATGAGAGAGAATTATTTGAATAGTTCATCCTACTACCCACAAAGGAGGGTTTTTTTATTGGTACACAAAGGACAGATTTTTCAGAACTCACTAGAAGTAAATGAATCAAATTAGAACATCAAATGCCGTTAAACATGCATAAGAACAAATTTCTACTACACATATATCACTATGAGGGGAGGAAGTAGAAGAGAAGCCTTCCTCGTATACTCTGATGTACACTAGACAAACATCTGATCTGAGCAGAAGGATTCACAGAAGACATCTCATCATAGATTACAAACCAAGTAGTAAGTCGTGGATTATTCTCTATCCTTCTACACTAGTTAGATGACAAAGTAGTACCATGAGAAAACCTAGTATTGGTTTACTAGGGGTGCAACTCAGACAAGTTGGATCAGGTTGAAGATCAACCCAGGCCAAAACCTAAAGGTGCAAGCCTCAAGTTCGGGCCTGGCCCAACCCAAGATCAAGCCCAAGTTTATCAACCCAGGGCCAACCCAAGTTTAATGCCTTAACCTAACACAGGCCAGGTTGGGCCGGGACGGATTTAGTCAGGCTTGGGCAGGTTGGTCGGGTTTGAAAAAATTTATGAATATTTTTGCATAGCCATCTTTTATTTGGTTTTATGACCAAATTTAAGAGTAGAATTGATTAAAAACAAGTGCAAACCTCATTTGCAAATGTACATATACATATTTTATACATATATACATGTGCGTATAATTAGAAAAAATATTATTATATAAACTAAATGCATGTATGTACATATTTTTTCAGGCTGACTCAGGTTGGGTTGGGTCAGACTTGGGCTACCCCGAGGCCACCTCAGGCCCAGCCCGTGCTAAAACTCAGGTTGGCTCAGGTCGAGCTTGGGGTAGGCCCACCCAAGTTGCAGTCCTATGGTTTACTGATATGAAGCCTACTACAAATTCGGTTTGTGGAGTGAAGATGTAATGTCAGTCCCATTTTAGCATTCCTTTCTTTTTTACCTCCAATAAATAGAGCATGATAGACAAATAAGTTCATTCTATCAGGTCATGCTTTGACCATGCAACACTCATTGATGATATTCACTGAATATGTGATTCAAGCCTCTGAATGTCTGGCAATTGTACAGGCAGGGTGGGGGATAATTCATTAAATCTTCAAATCTTACATATTGTGTTTGGTAATTCAAGAAAATATGTCAGAACATGAACGAATAGTACAATGTAAAGGATACAATTATATAATGCCACACCTTTGAAGATATGCAATTCCAAGATTTGTAAGGGAGTCCAAGTGGTCAGCAGCAATAGACAACAAAGAGGATAAAACCGATATAGCACTCTGCCAATAATAAGAAACAGCAACATGCCGTTATAGTACACTTGGAAAAGTAGATACATGGCCGAATAATAAAATATACAATCAACATGTTTCAAGGAAACCCAGCCATAAGTGGTAATTTAACCTGTAGACGGCCGGTTCTAATAAGTAATAAACCAAGTGTATTCCAGACAGATGCTTGTCTAATATCTGACTGCACTGACTCCTTCAACTTAGAAATAATTTCTCCAAGTTCTTCATGCGTGAGTTCTTTATCTGCACAATGATCAATTGTACTTCCTAGCAGGAGGCACTACACGTGATGGAACAGATAGTAGAATCAGCAACAGATGGTCCATTTGAGTGCCTGTGCTAAAAAATAAAAGAAGAGCCAGCCATCATGCAACATTAAAGTTGTTGCAGTATAAAACATCATTACACCTGTGCATGATGAATTTGAACCAAAGAAAGTAATTCAGGCCTGTCAATCTCTTCTTCACTCCGAAGTAATATTTCTGCTGCCTTTTCATATGCTGGCACTGCCTGAAATGGATTTCAAAGATAAGTGGAATAAAATGCCAAAGGTCAGATCCGTATCCATTTCACCCCTCCCAAGAGGCCAAGACCACAGATAGCAGGGACCAACATTGAGAAATGCCTCTTCATATACCTTATCCAAAAACAAATGGATGAATAATGAATGAAATCCAATCAGTTACCTTCTGTGGCTGACCCAACCTCTGATACATTAGGCCAAGTATAAAATGTGCATGAGCATTTTTAGGCATCTTCCTTGCAACATGAACCAAACCCTGTGAGCACCCACCAAAGTCAGTCATATGGCATACTTGTACAAGTATAAAAGAGAAAATGAATGAACAATTGGCTATCTATATTTTGTGCAATGGATGTGAAGTTCGATTTTTTTCTTGGCGATAGCTAAAATCAACAAATATAAATATTTTGTGCAATGGAAAGAAAGACATCTTGGGATGTGCAAACTCACAGTTTTAAGGCTGCTGACTTTTTCCTCACGGGATGCTGGAGCCCCTTGACAGTGTTGATCGGCATCCGTATCAGGCCCACATTCAAGAGAACATTCGCCCTTGTTAATTCTTGAACGACACTTCCCCAGTTTATTTAACCGTTTAGATTCTCCTTCTGTGGGATCAACCACAGCGTCTTTACATACTGAGGTACTTTTCTCCTCACAATTTTCTTCCTTAATGCTCCTGCTTAATATTTTTCATAAACTCGATGTGAGAACTGACAGGAAGTGAAATTGAAATGGACCAATGGCACAGCCGAAATCACAACTAACATCAACCGGATATATGGAAAAATGAAATTGAAAAATAGAAGGCACGTCAAGATGACCACTTCCATGACAATACTGCTGCAGCAATATTTGCAGAAACTCTAATAACTGTGAATTTTGGAGTGTTTTAGCGAGTCTAGCAAAGGTCATAATGTAAATTAAACTCTTTTCAGTGAAAAGGTTCAAATACATTAGCAAATTTAGTTTCCATTTGTGTCGGGGTAACAAATCTACTATGCTAAAAACTTGATATTACGGATGAAGAAGGAATGGTGGCAATGAGAAACCCAAAACCTGGTGGAATCAGGAGGAGCGATGGAGGCACAGTCATCGCCGTCGCTTTCGGGAGGGTCGACGTTGAGGTCAGCGATGATGACCTTGGAGTAGTTGCTCTTATTCTTCTTTGAACTCTCGTCGATGGAATCCTCGACGACACCGGATTCCTGCTTAATCAGGACATTCTGCGTGTTGCTAGCCTGCGCTAGGGTTTGTCGGGCCTCCGACATACTATATAGCTATGCTCTGACTTGTTGCGAAGAAGCGAGGAATGAAGAGAGCGTTTAGTTATATTGTGAATTTGTGATCATATTACCTTCGTTTACGGTCAACGTGGAATCTTTTGACTTATCTCGCTCCTTGACTCGTGGTAAGTAAAGTCCTGTGATCTTATTAAGGCTTAAGAACAATTTCCCTTCGGCCTTCAACCGTTTGATCCGACCTCAAAAAATATTTGCTTTCGGGGAAAAATTTATGATACGGGAAAGATAAGATATGGAAAGAGTTTTGATCACATCAAAGTCTATCCATCGAGTTTTTTGATTAATGACAACTGATTCCTTATCATGTTTATGATTCCAATTTATTGGTCAATTGTTTTTCTGATACCATATATTTTCTATATTATAATCGAATCACTTCATTTTTTAGGAACCCATTTTTCCAGGGAAAGAATGCACTTATTCATTTAATTTATCATCTGGAACATTTTTTACCATTTTAATATTTTTCACTTATTCGCTACTTGGAAAACTCAATTTATTCAAGTCGGAGAATGGTATCACTTAATGATAATTAAGTAGGAAAATCAATTTTACCATGGACCTCACGTGTTCTTGAAATAAGAACATAGAAATTGGTTAATTAAAATCGAAAAATATGGGCAGGTTGAATGCAGATTTCTAAATTCTATTGTAGATCTATAAACATTCAAAATGTCAAATATCCCTATTTTATACATAAATGCCCGCCGGTGAATTGGCACCTACTTCAACTGTACAAATACCCCCCTACTCTATACATAAATGCCCGCCGGCCTAAAAATTTTGACCTTGGACTGAACCGTCATTCTCCCTAATTAAAACCACAATCCCATTGATCAATTCCCTCTTCAAAATCCCAAGAGTGAACGTGCTTAATAATCACAACTAAATACAGAAATCTAGATTGTATAATGGAAGTTTGGACACCCAAAAGAATTTGAATTTTCTTAACCACATTTTTCATTCCCTGTTTTTTCCCACTTCTCTCCCCAAATTGGGATATGGTCCTCAACTCCTTGTAGAGTGCTCCTTACAGCCACATCCCACCATATATTACAAAACATCTCTCTATGAATAACAAATACAAGTACCAGATATATTCCCGATGTGTGAACAGGACATGATGTGAGGTTAGTGTGAATAGCAGATCCGGACTCTTCTCCCCCCTCCCCAAATTCTTCAATCAAACAGTCACCTCTCAAACTGCAACCGTTGGCAGTTGTTTTTCCATTGATCTCTCTCTCTCTTCCCCAACCCATTGGCTGCTTTTCTTACTCATACTTGATGATAGATGCCACTACAATCATGGGTGCAGAGGATGCGCATACTATAAAGATGGATCAGTTAATTGGTCTCATTTAAGAGAGTGTACCAAAACCAGATTTGGCCATTTGATTTTCTCAAGTTTTTCGGCTGCAATTAATTTCCTTGACAATAATGTTATAAGGCCAATTAAAGCTCCATTGTGTTTTTTTGAGGAACTCTTTGATTTGGAAATAGACACTAATCAGGGACAAATATGGAATTAGCCACATGTAAAAGACAATATATGGACCCACCATTTAATTTCTCTCCTCCCCGTCAAATGCATTTACCAAGGGTTTTAAAATCAAACCGCATAATGAACCGGTCGGGGTCTGGTTCTTGGGTCGAACGATTTGACTGTTTGAGTTGAACGGACAGTCTGTTTTGACAAAAATAAATAATAGTCAAAACCATTGAACGATTCGAAGGATTTAACCGCCCAGATCAATGGTTTGCTGACCAAATCAACGTTTTTAAACAAATTAATAATTTTGGGTAAAACAAAATCGGTTCTCAATTTTTCTGGTCCGACCATCCAATCTGATCTGGTTTTAAAAACCATATCAAATTTCACTTCATTGGGTGACAGTCCAAGACTACAAAAGATGGCCCCAACTCGAGCTTTTGCATGGGTTGGGCCTGCCTTTTTTGAGCTTCAAGTTTTTCTTGGGCTTAACCGAAACTTGGGATGGGCTTCAGTTGAAGCCTTAGGTATCTCAAGCTTGAGCCAATCCAGTGTGACCCAACCCGTGCCCACCCAAACAAATATACATCTGTGCATTTTATTTACATACAAATATTTTTTTAATTGTATATGTACATGCATATACAATTGTTAATATACATACACACATTTGTTAATGAGGGTCGGTTTGGTTTGCAGTCAAAATTAAAATCATAATCAAAAGTTCAATTGGTGTTGTTTGGTTCATCTAGAAGCCAAAATTATAATTAATTAAGATTTCTAATTTTGCCTCGTCATTCGTCAAAGTTTGAAGCTTCAACCATTTGAGGAGGGAGCACCGACAATAGAGGTGACAAATGGGTTCCTTGGATTGGGTTGGGTGTGGGTTGAGTACCAACCCACCCATATTGACCCTATTACCGACCACCCATATTTATTGATGTTAGTGGGTCACGATCCACCCTGACCCAAACTATTTATACACACACAAGAAAAACATTAAAAAAAATAAAAGTTTAAAAAGTATTTTTCAAATTTTCAAATAAAAAAAGCACAGAAACACTAAATATGGTAAATATAATACATGTAAAACATAAAAAATTATAGATAAAAAATAATAGAAATTTAAATGAAAGGATCATTTCACATAAAAACAGAAACCTGTAAAAAACACAAAGAATTACAGAAAATGCAAACAAATACAAATTGCAAAAAAAATAGATTTAGAAAAATATGAAAATAGAAATTGCAGAAAATTGGAAGGCGTTATAAAAAACAACAAATGCCATAAAAACAGAAAAAATGCAAATAAAGAGCAAACAAATACAGAAATGTATAAATTGCTAAAAAAATAAATTATTAAAAACACCGGAATTATAGAAAAACATGAAAATGCAAAAACATATACAAGAAAAAATATAAATTTTGCAAGAAATTGAAATAAAAATGGTAAACTAAAAGCAATAACATTCAAATAGCCATAATAAATTAAACATACAAAAAAATATTTTTTTAAGTATTTACATACATTTTCAAATGTAGAAAATTGAACAAGTGTCATAGACTAGGAATTACTACAACCGGTCAATCTCATGGAGAAATTTTTGGATACATTAGTGATCTCCAGAGGCAGAGCTCCAGACCCTACATTACTAGAGCCTCATGGATCCAAGGATTTATTTCCCAGAGTTATAGATTGGCAACAAAACCCTTGGAATAGTGACAAGAAAATTCTGTGGAAGAAGAAAATATAAATGTTTTGTCGACATTTGAGGGGGCGGAAGAAAGAACAAAGGTGGCAAGAACTTTTGCAAGGCATTTGGTTCCGTGGGCATTTATTCAATAAACACTGTCATGTATATAGACACCACTTCAGCAGTTTCCTCTCACACTCTTCTGTATGCATCGAGAATAATAAAAGTGGACTTCGGTTTATGTACACGCCTACCGTTTTGGGAAGTTATTTTTTAAAGCTTCCTCAAATAATTAGGCATTTTTTCATTTGTTACGCTAATGTGGTGACAATTAGTGGCTCCTAATTGTCATAACTGGTTGTAATTATTACCTTTCTCAATTTTGCAAGCAAATAAAGTACAAACATTGAATGAAAAAAAATGTAAATGGAACCAAACACATACTTGGTTAGGACAGGCATTGTTGCATCGGCCATAAATCTTGCTATAATGATAAGAAAAATGGTGTTAAAGCTTTTCTCCTATGGGAGAGCGAATAAACCCTAACAACATCAAGGTGACTTGGCAATGACAACCGGCAAACCAATGGAAGTTTGGAATATAGGAACTTCATTTGTTTGATTATTTTAACACTTCTATTGACCCAATTGACCCTGACCCTTTATAACCCATTAGGACTCTCAACTCAACCCCACCCTAACCCTAATGTGTTACTCGACCCATAATGACCCACCTTTGAAATGGGTGGGGGTATGGATGGGTTTGTGAACAGGTCCGTTGAGTGGGTCAAATGGATTGGGGTCAATATTGTGAATCCTGAGGGAGGGTGGTTGGCATCCTATAAAGAGAAATAGGGTTTGGGGGTTCTACTTGAAAGGGACAAGTAGGGTGGACGTGACTACCCTATATAAATGTAAAACAACAATATGAAAATATTAGAAAATTTAATAACATTTTTATTAACTTTATATTATTGTTTTGCTATGTTACCGATGGAATTGGACCACTGTTGGTCGATTTATATGTTATTATTTTTCTGTCATTTGTAGTTAACATTTTATCGGTAAAGTTTATGATTTTCTGTATGTTATTTTGTGTTTTTTATTTATTATTAATTTAAAATTATGTTAATTAACACATTTAATTTTAATATTTTCTAATTACGACCGGAGGTTGGAGGGGGTGGATCATTATTGGTCTATATTAATCTTATTATAATATAAGTAGGGGGTCAACAAATGGATCCGGGTGATTCCCTGCTCGTTTCCTCATTATTTTACGGTCACCTTTGACCTGTTTTGTTTGCCTTCTTCTCCCACGTAATGAAAAATGGATCTAACATCTAAGCTGTCGAGCATTTCAACTTTTAAGTTTTCAAATCCACATCCACATTCAAGTATTCAACCTGTAACAAGGTTTTTAAAAATGAACAGGAAACAGAATCGGTCAGGGGCCATTTCCGGTTAAGCGGTTCAATCGTCTGAGTCAAATGGTTCAACACATGATGACATAAATAAATTAAAATAAAAAAATATATTTATAAATAATAAAAATAGTATAAAATTAAATAAAATAAATAATCAAGAAAATACAGAAAAAATAAAAATAAAATAAATTAATAAAATAAAATGAATAAATTAATAAAATAAAAGCAAGAGTATGAGGGAGAATGAGAATGAGAACAAGAATCAGGTAAAACAAACGGAGAGATGGAAAGGGGAGGAGGAGCAGCGACACTATTCTCACTGCTCGCGAAGAAAAGTAGATGTGCTCCTTCAAAAACAAAAGCAAAAGTTTTGAGAAAATTTATTTAAAATCGCCAGCTGCTGTTGCAAAACTGCCGACCGCCACTGCTCCATATTGCTCCTTGTTGCTGCTGATTACAAGAGGAAAGAAATCCACCGCTGTGCATTGCACATGAAGAAAAAATTCTTCGTATTAATTACTTAAATTTTGTATGATAGAAATTGAAAATTTACAAAAGAAACAATATAATTAAAAATAAACTTAAATGTTTGTAGTAAATATGCAGTGCATTGCACGTGGAAAATTTAAAATATAATAACAATTATTATTATTATTAAATATTGTATTCCATTTATGTCATAAATAAACATATTTTTATTTTAACAATTATTTTATTTAATATGATGATTATATAACATTATAAATGTTCCCAAATGTTTTTGACAAAATTCTGTATTTTTCATTTTTTGTGTTCCATCTTTTTTTTTAAATATTTATTATTCAATTATGACATTATGAGTTTTTTTTTTTTTTTTTTTTTTTTTTTTTTTTTTAATTTGGATCATTGGCCCGCCATCTAGATAAGAAAACAATTTTGCTTTTGAATAAGTTTTAAATTATATATTTCATCTATGTTATATAAATAACTTTTTACTTATCACAGTTAATTTTCATTTGACATAATTAATATATAATTTTTCATACTTTCATTTGATTATTTGTATTTTTTATTTTTTAAAGATTTAGTATTTAACTATCTTATCATTGATTAATCCATTTGATTTATAGGTTAACATTAAATTTTGTACTATATTTCCATCATTGATAAAATTATTTCTTATGTATAATACTTATTTTTGTTCAATATAATGAATTTATAATATTAAAGGTGTACCCAATATTTTGTTCTTATAAATATATAACATCATATATGTGTCCAATTTTTTCTCTATTTTTTATTTTTGTGTTTCTTTGTATTTTTAATTTGTTTTTAAATTTGATTATTTGACTATGATGTTGTTCCATTTCTAGATTGATTTTAAATTTAGCATTCCATTTTCATCATTGTTCTTACATTGCATACTTATTGTTGTTTAGTATAATTAATATACAATATTAGAGATATTTTTATTTTTTTGTATTATATATTTTATTTATTTTAATTTTTTATTATTTAATTATGACATTGTTTATTAACCCATTTGTTCCAAAATGGTTGAATTGCTTATCCACCATTGGAGGGAAGAAACTAAATTTGTTTTTAAATTACTTTTCAAAATATTTATTTTTATACCATTAAAATTAATGTTATGGATTTAATTAATAGAATATAATGTTGAGAAAAACATATTTTAAATATATGATTTAATGAGAGAACATACCTTATATATAAGATTTAATTGGAGAGAATAGGAAAATGTTTCTATTTTTTAATTTCTATATTATTTTGTTTGCATTTTATCTATTTTTGAATTTTATTATTTAATCGTGGCAACATGGAATGGTCAATTTGGCCCAAAATGGCTTAATTTTTTATCACCACATAGATGAAAAACTATTTTTTTTTCTAGGTAGATTTTGAAATTATAAGTTTTTATGTTATTAGAATTATTAATTTATCATGTATGCATTTTATTAATAGACTTTAATAATGAGAATAAACAAAAGTTTCTTAAATATATGATTTAATGAAGGTGAATGCAAGTTAATACCTTAAATGTAGAATTTAATGAAAAGGAATTAAATGCATTTAATATCTTAAATTTATCTATTTTTTAACTCATTTAATATGAATAACTTATTATCTTATTTGCCCTATTTTTTATCAATAAATTTAAATATGAAAAAATAAATAAGATGACAGAAATATTCTTAAGGTTATTTATACTTTTTAAAATAATATAGATATTATACTGAAAATATATGGAGAGTGGACCAACTAAGGGGAACGTGAAGCCCACATGATGATACCGTGAAGACCTTATCTTTCATTAATTTGATGCCATGTTTTCTAAATGCATGGATGGGGTGCCATGATGATGCAACGATCTCAAGTGCATGGTCATCGTCAAAGGGCAATATATAATTTTGGTGTATACTGCACATCCACGTAACATCATTCACCTAACGTCAAAATACCAAATCCGACGGTTCTAGTTGAAGGAAGAGAGTCAAAATTGTCGTCCGACTTTCGAGTTCCGTACTTACGTGCACGTCAGAACTACTTGAGGACTTGAGGTTATGGGGTCTCGTGATATTTTTTTATCTATTGTTTATATGGAATGGGATCTGCGCCTTATATGCACATCCATTGTGAGCCGCAGATCCGGTCTCTGTTTATATTGCCGTTGATTGGTTATAAAATTCTGGTTTCATATTTTTTGGATACATACTCCAACAGTCCAACCTTTTTATAAAAGGGAACCCTTTCTGGATTTCTTGCCGAAAATTTTGAAGAAGAGACTGTAACGCGGACAGACAATTTTCTTTCCCACTAATTTGGGGGTCAAACACATCACTTTATTGTTTCGTTTTTTTTTTTTTAATAAATTACAAATACCCCTTAGTACTTACTTATATAGGGTTAGTGATAAAGATCCTTATACTTTAATTTGCGATAAAACCCCTTTTGAAATTTTACATTGCAACAAATATTCCTTTAGCCATTAAGACGATGGAAAACATAAAATTATTAAAATATCTCACTAAACTTTATTTTTTTTTTCTTACCATTTTATCTTAAAAACTTAACTGACGAAAAAATTCCTTTAATCCTCCCTAGAAAAGGAAAACTTAACTGACTCAAATATTTCTTTAAGCCATCATGATCCATCTCAAGCTCTTACCTTGACTCCGTTTCATCCAAACACAGCCTCATCTTCGACTCTAGCTGGGTGGTCCCTCCTGTCCTGACATACCTTCTCTCCTAGCTTGTTGGAAATATAAGAGGCCTGTCAAGTGTGAACGAGAGAGAGAGGGGAGGTGTTATGGAAGCTGCTCCCTACAAAGCTTTGTTGGACGGTATGGAAAAAGAGGAACAACCGAGTGTTTAAGGAAAAAGGCAATTTGCAGATATTCCCATCTCTGGCTTTTTGGATTTATATATGCATGGAGAAATGAGAATCCCCAACAAATGCAACTGTCACAGTCCACCCATCAATTACAACAAGGGTGACTGTTGTTCCCCAAGTTTCCCCTGCCCTGCCCTAGATGATACTATACTAACGTATTAGCCAGTGTATGTGTAGTGATGAAAGCTCAAGGGACAAGGGTTGGCTCGTACAAAAGATTGCAACTGATGCTTGCCTTTTCGCTGAAATTCTATTATCAGTTTTCAGTTTTCACCCATGGGATGGGAGCGCTTGATAGGAATAGGAATGAATGCCTTTGACTTGAGGAATCGCACCCATATCACGATTTAATAGATTCTGATTACCAAATATAATACGGCTGCCGCGATGTCGTCGTGCCCATCAAAGATCTACGGTCTACCATTACCAACAAGCTAAGCTTCGTGCTGGCAATTTAGGAAATTACAAATTACTTTAAAGGAGTTTCGTAAGGGGAAAGTTTATGAAGAGTACCACAACGACGGAAAAAGGACGACGATGGATTCCATCGGCAATCGGGTTTTATTAGAAATTAGTCCTCCCCTTTCTTCTTCAACGGTTAATGCTTCTCCTCCCTCGAAATCAATGATGACTAGACATACAAAATCACTGACTAGCAAAATTAATTCAATTATAATTATATAATTCAGCTACTAATGAAATGTTTATCTGGAGGCTTATAAACTAACCTGTTGAATTGTTGATGTTGAGGTTAAGATAATAATTTGTTATCTTGAATTTCTGGGTTGATTTAATACGTCATTTATGCGAATTAGTACACCCTTTTTATTTTATAACTGATATTAATTGACCAATCTCAAGAGATGTTAATGCATTACTTGAATGGCAGAGATCAACTGAAATGTTATTACATTATTTGACTAAGATTAATATACTTCTCTAGAAAACCAATTTAATAGCATAACTTATTTGGTTGATTTGGAGTATCACTTTTTTGGATGGTCCAAATCATTTGAAATTTCAGTATATTTCTTTTTTTGGATGGCTGACATTTTCTCAATGATCTCAGACTGCTTTGATGGCTTAAATCTTTGACTTAATTTGATAAATCATTCATTTCATTGACTTAGGTTATAAGAGACGGGATTTCGGATTTCGTCCTTACCTCATCTCTCAAACAATTGCAGTTTGCAGCTATGCATTGACAATATCTCGTACTCGTTTGTTCCCAAATGCATGGCTGAAGTACGGAGATGCAAATGTTGTGAGGATGAAACCCGATCGATCTCTAGTCTAGTCTAGACCGTCTCCTTTCGTCTATCGTATCTTTAGATTTTGAGATTCCATTTGAATGGTCTCTCATTACATGAATGAAAACATCAAAATATCTTTGAAAGTGGGTCATGCTCATGCCTCATGCCATCATCAAAATCATTCATCGGGTAGAATCTGAAAAACAAAGGCGAGTGCCAGACCCAGACCCTGGACTCTGCAGTTTACCCAAAAAAGAAAGAGAGCGCAAGAAACCGGAAATCGAGAAACGAGGCTTGCAGGGAAACAATTGGTTCTGCCACTTTTTATCATTTCTTTCGAAGAAGGCGGCAAGGGCAACCAGAGAAGGACGAACCAACAGTGTAGAGCCTTCTCGGTCCGCTCTCCGTCGTTGAAAGTAGACTACCATTGTTTCTTGATTTGAATCTACTGGGGTAGGGTTTAAGAGCCAGCATCTAAAGTTGCAGAGCCGGTAAGAAATGACCACTTTTCTCTCCTTCTCACGTCACCCCTTCGTTCTCTTCCCGGTCACAGAGCTGGAGCCAACTAGAGCTTCGAAACTACTTCTTCCTCCAAGATATAACGGTTTCTCCAATAACAAGCGCCGCCTTCGCAGTGCAGTGGGCGTGGTTAGGTCTGGCTTGCAGCCAGACTTCCTGCCCGATCTTGATAGTGCGGAGGGTTTGATTCGGGGGGTATTCGGTAAAGCCGAAGGTTTTCTCTATACAATCGCCGACGCTGCCGTATCGTCCTCGGATTCTGTAAATGGGGCCAAACAGAACAGTGATTGGCTTTCGGGGATTACAAATTACCTGGAGACAGTTCTGAAGGTACTCTGATGCAACAATTAATCTTGGAAGAATTCGATAGCCCTTATTCACCTATAAATTGAAAGAGAACTACTTACATTCTTATAATAAACTCCCTTTCTCCATAAATTACACTCGGGGAACATCTGCAGAAAATAAAATGCAAAGGTCGTCATGCAGTCATGCTTCCTTTGTATTTATAGATAGAGAGTACTAATCCTACCTGTATCAATTTGACTTCTTTTTAAATTTACGTTTTAATATAATTCTACTGCTAGTCAGGTTCTGACTAACCCCCTCCCTCTCTGTTGACGAGTTTGGAATTACTTGTTTACTGCTTGTGTATAATTGTGTTTCATATGGCACCAGAGTATGAAATTTATCATTAATGAACAGGTACTTTTTTCAGGTTTTGAAGGATGGGCTTTCCACTCTACACGTTCCTTATGCTTATGGATTTGCGATTATTCTTCTCACTGTTATTGTTAAGGCTGCCACGTTTCCTTTGACAAAGAAGCAGGTATCTTTGTGTAACTTGCGTATATATTGCATTACATTGGTCTTTGCGATAGGAGTCAATCTTATTTTTTATGCATTAGAGAGAATATGCTATCTTTATCTTTTCCAAAGTTCAAATGATATTTCATTTTATTCCATTCTACTTTTTGTGGCCATTCTTTTCCATATGAATACCGTACAATGCAACTCAGTTACAACTATCTCGATTTTCCCGTCATTTAAGTTGGAAAAGATTCTTTAAGACCTTAATTGAAGTTTCCATTAGATTGAAGGATCTTATCACGAAAAAGTTTATTCCTCTCTCACTCACCCAAAAAAATGTCATGCACAGGTTGAATCTGCAATGGCAATGCGTTCTTTGCAACCTCAAGTGAAGGCTATCCAGCAACGCTATTCGGGAGATCAGGTGCCCTGTCTCAAGAATTTTCTGGAAGATTTCTAGTCTTGAAATCTAGGTTGCACATACTTATAGTGAAATTCAATTAGCAACGAGAGATGAAAGGGAAAGAAACAATGATAAGTAACTAAAGTTGAGTCATTCTAGTTCTAGTTGGTTTGTGGGGAATACAGTTATCCTACTTAACTATCTGATTCTTTTTATCCATGCTAAATTGTTGATCTAGTCAAAATAGTAATGATTGCAATTAAGTGGAAGAACTTATTTTGACTGTCTATAATCCAAAACAAGTAATTTGTTCTTTCAATTTCAGTTCATTTCTGAAAGCAAATCAACTTTGACAACATTTCAATGGATAAGCTTTTACTTGTGATATTTTTTTTTGCAGGAGAGAATACAACTTGAGACTGCTCGCTTGTATAAACTAGCAGGTGTAAACCCATTGGCAGGTAGTAATTCTGGCATTCAGGTTTGAGCTTTAGTATCATACATGTTGCTGCATTAGAACTATTTGTATTCTTCTTGAATCTTGACAAATGAGGAACTCACTCATATCTTTTGTTAGGTATGATGTCTTCTGTTTACTTGATTGTGTATAAGGTTGTAATATGCAGCAATTATATCTCTGCATATCAATATTATATATTTTACTTAATGAGATTTGATCCTGGTGTTCTTATATTCTAAATTCCCAAAACCTTAGACATGGTTGTCAACATAGTTGTCAAGTTGTCTAGGCAATTTTGGGTGACAGTGGGGTGCCTAGTCACCTAATCACCTAGGCGATGCGTAGGCAAAAAGGATTATGAAACTAAAGAACTAACTTTTAGCTAGTTCTCTAGTTTTATGTAGCATTCAGCATGTGTATATTGGTTGAAAAAGATAGCAATTCTCTTTGTTAAGAACATTAAATTTCCTCTCAAAATGTGGCAAATCATCATATCTAATAGATAAAATATTTTAAGTATATTAGATTCAATATTTTCAAAAGACAAAGGAACCTAGATTGAACTATTTCAAGTATATCATTTAGTTAGTTCCCTAGTTTTTATATACCATTCAGCATAAATATTAATTGGAAAATAGAAATTCTCTTTATTAGGAACATTAGATTTCCTTTCAAAATCTGGCAATTTATCATATCTAATAGATAAAAATATTTTGGATATATTAATTTCAGTATTTTCAAAAGATGAAGGAACCTAGAAAAAACAAAAGAACCTAGGAGAAAATGAGTGGAAGTAGATTGAGATGGTTTGTTCACGTGCATAGAAGACCATCTACGACACTTGTTAGAAAAAGGGATTTGGTACAAGTTGAAAGAGGCTGGAAGAGATGGGGGCAGACCAAAAAGGACTTGGGTGGAAGTAATTTAAAGAGAGGTGCTAATTCTTTTGCTGATACACTTGCAAAGCAAGGGGTGGGAAGGGATTATTTGTTTTGGGCTTTGTTGTGATTTGATTTTCTTTTCAGGGAGGGTTAAGAGAGTTTACTTCTTCTATTGCTTTCTTGCAATTCTTTCTTTAATGTTGTTTAATAAAAGTTTCTGTTACTGATCAAAAAAATGTGAAATTATTTAAGTGCCCATAATTTAAAATGGATATGACACTGATGACTGAACAAAATGGAATGGTGAAATAGGATTCATGTAGTTGACCCCATATTAGATGGAACAAGGCTTAGATGATGATGATGAGTTTCAACATTTTCAAAAATAATACATATTGTATAAAGCAATTTCATATTAATTAGCAACTAAAGATGCTATAATTGTATAAGAATTTAAGATTGGAAGTAAATGAGAAAAGAACAAGGATGGAGCTGCTGTTGTAAGATGGAGATAGAAAAAAAGAAACCTTTTTGTACTTCTATTCTTTATTTCTTTTGCTTTTCTCAAAACCCTTTGATCTTTTAAAGTTGAAAAGTAAAACTTTAAAACAAAGTATGAAGTATATAATAGAATTTATTTTTTATCAATTATAATAGATTGTATTAACTATTAACACACATTAGTAAGATGTAGCAATATAAATTATATTATAAGGGTGCCTGCCTTACTGTGATTGATTGAGGCGTTTAGGTGAGGTACCCAGCCAAGTAGTGTGTCAATGGACCGGTTTTGGATTGGACCCTGTCCAAATCAAAATCAATTTGGACGGACCAATAAGACATATTGAATTGGACCAGTCCAGACTTAATGGTCCAAAGTATTTATTTGATCGGATTGGACCTGGACCATCCGCAATGAATTCATATTGCATTGGGTCGAATTGAACCAATATTTGGTCCAATGATAGAAGATAAGAATGCAGGTGTCAATGGACTAGGTTTGGGCTAGAACCAATCTAAATTAAAACCAATTTGAACAGAATGGATGGTCCAGACATTAAATTGGACTGGTCCAAAAATGGCCCAAAGTATTCATTGGATTGGATTGGACCTGGTTCATTTGTAATGGATGCATATTGGAACATTTACACTCCTAAAGCCTAAGGTGTCTAGTCGCCTAGGAAACACCTTGACAACTATGGTTGTCAATCATTGCTTAGGAGGCCATGTTTCCACGGGGACTAGGCAAGGGTAACCTAAACAAATTGCACAAGGTGATAATACTAATAATACATCACCACCTAACTTCAACTAGATAAGTTGGCAATTAGAACATTTACAGTATCTGTCATATATATATATATATATATATATATCTGTCATGTTTGTAGCACATACCATGCTATTGTCATAAAGTTAGAATGGTATGACTACCATCCAGTGTGCTAGTTTGTGACATTATCTGTTCCTGAACACCATTCATGAATTTTTACTTTTATTTTTATAATTTTTCTTTTTCTTTTTTTCTTTTCTGAAGATAGAAGGAATTTTTTCTTTTTTATTCTTCTCTCTGAATTAAAAGAGGGCTGTTTTTATTCCAGGTAAGAACAAGGATAAAAATTTCGATACGATAGACCCCGTATCATATCGTATCATATCTTTACAGGTGTTTTGGGAACCCTCTTTTTTTTTAAAAAAAATTTAAAAACCTACCCAAAAACAATTTTTGAAAAAAACAAAAAAAAAGCGTGTGGTTTTTAGTACCGATACACAGAGGTGTATCAATACTTTGAACCTTGGGTAAGAAAAGTGCTGCTTTTCTAAAAAGGAGGATGAGCTCATTTATTAATATTCTATTTTGGTGTTTTCCTCTTATAGACATTAAATAATTAATGTTGGAACAGGATTGGTGTAGTCAACCCCAAATAGTTGGGATTAAGTAGGGGTTATCGTGGGCTGGGCCCGGGCCAGGTTCTGGGCCCACAATTTTAAATATGAAATATTAAATATATAATAAAGCATTAAATATATAGTATATAAAAAATAATATATATATATATATATATATAAATATACATTTATGTTATGCTTTATGTAATATAAAATATTATATATAATATGTGTTATATATGTAATATTTATATACAACATTAAGTATAAAATAAAATGAAACATAAACATATGTATATATTTAATTTATATTAATAATTGTGGGCCAGGCTGGGCTGAAAATGCTCACCCCTAGGATTAAGGCTGAGTTGAACTGAACTTTTACATATATTGAAGATCAAAATCTAGCTAAAATGACAACTCAAAAGTAAAGTGAATGAAATTTGTTTACTGGGTGAATCTATGATACCTTAATACCTATACAAGGTACCTTATCTTGTTGGATACCTCACCTTTTAGTGTATATTTTGTATCTGATGCCATATCCATCCGTGTCCTTGCTGTATATGCATGGTAATGTCTTAATAGTTGCTTAATTGCAGAGGTGCTCAACCAATTACTGGTGCCAAAATTCACATAATTCCCTTGACAACTAAGGCGCTATTTTTTTTTTGATAAATAAAAATATTTATCACAACAATATTTTTTTTTTTCTATTATAGATAGAAAAACTGTCCCTACTTTAAGAACAATCACAACAATAACGCCTTAGTTGTCAATGGGTCAGGTTCAGCACGGGTTTGGCTCAAACCAAACCCAATCTGAAGCCATATCAACACACTACTGGCCTGGCCCAACTAAATGGATAGAGACGGCCGAACCCAACCTGTCCATTCCCATATATAGTCATCTATAGTTCTATACTCAAACAAGCATATGCATATGAATATTTAAGCACTGCAGTATCAATGGATCATGTTCAACCTGAACCCCGATTAAGACTGGCCCAACTATAACCCAATAGGGTTGGGTCAGTGCAGGTTTACCACTTAGCCCAACTCACTGACTTCCCTAAATAGATTCAAGGGGCTTCATAATACCTTTTATCTTGTCATAATGGCCCCCTTTCCACATGTTATAATGTTGATTAAGAAGTTAGTTTTTTACTGTTTTTAAATGACTGTCTTTCTCAACCTGCAAATAGCACTTTAATCATATTGAAAGTCAAAGTTTAAGACACTAATGTTATACAGCAAGAAATCAACATGGATATTCTGTAGCTAAGGAATTCATTCTGAGATTAAGTATCCCGCATGTATAGGAAACCTATGTTGAAGTATTTAGCATATTGAGATATGTTAAATAAGGCATAGCCTAAATTTATGAAAGGGATAACATACATTGTTGAGGATGGTCACAGGCTAAGATTTTGGACAGATGTTTGGTGTGAAGAGAGGATCTTAAGGACTGTTTTCCTTTGTTGTTTAACATAGCATAGAACAGACATGGACTGGTGATGGACAACCTTGATTCCTTTAATGGCAGAATGGACTGGGGCCTCATGTTTAGAAGACATTTGAATGACTGGGAGGTTCCCCAAATGGCGGAGCTGCTTTAGGTGCTAGGTAGGGTAAAGGTTAACACAGATCAAGAGGACAACAGGATTTGGAGGTGGGAAAAGTCTTGGTTTTTTCCAGCAGAATCCTTTTACAATCAGGTTGCTAGAGCTAGAGGGGGTGGGCGGGGGGAGCGGGGGTTCTGCTTAGAAGATTTGGTTTTTTGCCGTGCCATCCAAGGTTTCTTTTCTGATGTGGACAGCAGCTCTCAACAATCAACTCAAGATAACCAAATCAGCTGGGGTATGGGGTTGGATAATGATCTCTGTATCATTTGTAAGGAAGCCACCGAATCTGTCAATTACCTGTTTCTTAATCGCAAGCTTGGAGGCTCTGTGAGTGTGGGTGAGGAACATTTTTGGTATAGCTGGTTGTACTCCGGATACAGTGGATTTTTTTTTTTCAATAGCTGGCAGATGCAGGTCTGAGTAAAGAAGGGATTACAATCTGGAAGGCAGTCCCTTTGGCTGTGTTTTAGACTATTTAGACAGAGAAATGCACAAAATTTTGAACATAAAACTGAATCTGAAGATAGGCTGATATCTAAACTTCAGGCCAGATTTCTTTCCCGGGTTGGTGGGCATAGAAAAGGAGGCGATGTGGTTCTTTTTTAGGAGCAATCTTTCTGTCTAACATGGGGTTTATAGTTTGTATATTCCCAGTTTATAGGTCCTTGGAAGATTGACGTGGAAATTTACTAAGGCTGCAACTATTTGAGTGGTTTGGGAGGAGAGGAACAACAGAACTTTTAATGGCAAAAGTAGACATGTGGAGGATGTAATAGAGACAATAAAAGTGAAGGTAGCGTTCTGGATTAAAACTTTGGTTTGCTTTCATAGTTTCACAGTGACTAATATTCTAAGGGTTTGGAAGGAGATAGCACTTTCCTCTAGAGACAGACAGAATAAAAATGGAATGGATTGAAGACCTCCACAAGGCAGTAAAGTAAAGCTGAATTTTGATGGAAGCTCTTTGGGTAACCTCGGCATGGCAGGTATTGGTGGGGCAGGGCAGATTGTTGTCTCTTTACTCTGGACCAATTGGTATGGCTAACTCCATAAAAACTGAACTGTTGGCTTTACTACAAGGTCTCAGGTTAGCTAAGCAATTGGGCTTCAGTCAATTGGAGGTGGAAGGGGACTCGAAAGTAATCGTTTCTTGGGAAAAATGTAACAGAAATATTCCTTGGATCCTCAGGAATGTTTACAGGGAAGTAGAAAGGATTGCAAGAGATCTGAGTATTGAATTCAAATGGGTTAGAAAGGGAGCAATTGTTCTGGGCATCTTTGTAACATAGCGTTGATTTTGGGTTAGAAATCATGGTTATCAATCAAAATTATACTGTTTTTTTTCACATATAATTAATATAATCAAAGTTTTGCTGATAAAAAAACATATACTTGATCTTAAAAACAAAAAAAGATATCATAGGGCATTTGATGGAAAAGAAGCTTAGCAATGAGATCCCCTTGTTCCTTTTTTTTGGTGAATTAATTTCCATATCCTGCTCTCGTTCCATGCTTTTTGTAATTTGTTTCCTCGTGGAAGCTTTTCCTTTCCCTAATAGTTTATCACCTCTCTTACTTTACTGCTCATGACAGGATGCCTGCCCACTCTTGCTACAATACCTGTTTGGATTGGACTATACAGAGCTCTTTCAAATGTGGCAGATGAGGTAGAGTTCCTCTGTGCTATTCCCCCTTTTGGTATTCTGCTTTACATTCAAAATCCACTATGAGCTGATTATCATCTTTTCATTTGATTGTTAGGGGCTCCTAACAGAAGGCTTTTTCTGGATACCCTCCCTTTCTGGTCCAACTACAATTGCTGCTCGGCAAAGTGGCAGTGGGATCTCTTGGCTTTTTCCTTTTATTGTGAGTTTCTTGAATGATCTTAAAATTAAAAATACCTCTCTTGGGAAAATTATTTTTCTGTTACAACTGCTTGGATATTCTTGTTGACATGTAGCAGTTGGGCCACTTTATATCAAGCAGAACATCATATTTAGGTATGTATTAATTATGTTGAAAGATGAAATGCAGTTGGTCAGACCATATGATAGTAATGCTGAATAGAAGTCCCAGCAATAGGAAATTAAGAAGCTTCCAAAAATAAAGAAAGAAGAATAGTTGGTATTATAGAGAGAACACAACATGATGATAGAGAAAGAAAGAATAGAAAAAATATAGAGAATTGTCATAACATAGAAGAGATACCTCATCAAACTCCTACCAATCATCGGATTTTTATTCTTCAATTCATCTCTGAAAATATCAAAATACAAAGGCTGTATTAATAGACTCTGATAGGGCATCAAGCCTCCTTATACAGACACCAAATGAGAGTAAAAGCTTCTAAAAGAACACATCAGCAGTTGCACTAGAGCTAAGTAACCATATATTATTCACAACTCAAACATGTAATCTCACTCTGACTAAATGCCCACTGCCAATTCTCTATGAATAAATAAACATAAAACAACATAAAAATAGGTTATGGCAGGACAAAATTGTTGTAGCTGATCCTGAATGGTTAGAAGCAAGGCTGGAGTTGAGTTGAACACAGAAATAAACAAATTAGGACTGAAATCCCATTATCAATTGATACATCCTCGGTAAAATGTCCATAGCTTACCCGGAATACATTGGATTTGAAAGCCTTGATTTTCTGAGTAGGTAACTGAAGAATCATTATAGTGTCACACAAATAAAATCAGAAATTTCACCTTAAGAAAGAACCATTATAGTTGGTTTCTATTTTATTTTTACTTAACCAAGCTTTTCTTTTGAGGCTTCCTTAGAAGATACTCTTTCTGCATCATACAGCTCACAAATCTTAAATTGAAATCCTGTTTACTACTTGGGTTGCATTTGCAATTAGAAACAACTTTTTCAGTCGTGAATTAAATGTATGCTCATTCAGTCCAATTTGAAATTTTGTATAGAAAAATAGCTGATCCAAGCTCCATGATCAGAAGAAAATACCAACTTGTTAGTTAATTAGTGAATATTGAATAACTAAGAATTATACATAATTGAAAAGGGTGTAAAAGTATCAGGACTGAGCAAGTGGGTCTGAACCAAAATAACAGAGTGGGACTTCATTTTTTTAGCAGTTAATTTTATGGTAAGAAATTGCCTATGAACGAAGTGACTACTGAAATATCTTTTCTTTGATTTAGATATGCAACATTATTATGATACTCTCTGACCAGTCAATTATTAATACGAGCTAGACATCAATGTGAGGCTGCTGGAGAAGATACACCAGTAAATATAAATTAAAATAAAATACATAAGAATGTTTGAGGTGTGGAGATATTTTTACCTGGTTTTTACGTAAAGATGGTTTACTCATTGCGACTTATGCTTGTTGTATTAGAGGTTTGGTTCTCCATGTTAAAATTTTGTGGAAGCTATTCCAATCCAAGATAATTGATGTTGTTGCAGGATGGTCATCCACCCCTCGGATGGTCAGACACCTTGGCATATCTTGTCTTACCGGTGTTGCTTGTCGTCTCACAATATATCTCAATTCAAATAATGCAGCCATCACAGGTTTGTCCAGACGCAGATTATTATATCATCTCTTTGGATCAGGACCTGCTTCTGTTTGCCTTCCCGTTCCCCCATATCTACTAGAACTTTTTCCATACCTTACATCATTAGTTTGCTATGCTGTGCAGAGATGGCATGGCGTTTGTAGTGTGCTTTAAACTGTGATTTGCATTTGATGACATCTAATCTTGTTGTTTGCTCCCGTTTCCTCATGAATGTGTTTTGAACTTTCTATACTTTAGGTTTTGTGACTCCTGTGATTCTTCTGCTTATCTTATTGCATGTGGGTATCTTTCAGGGTAATGATCCAAACCTGAAAAGTTCTCAAGCCCTAACTAAGTTCCTGCCATTAATGATTGGTTATTTTTCTCTCTCTGTGCCTTCTGGGCTAAGTCTTTATTGGTGAGTGGTTTTTCTTTATTTTTGGGCATTTATATAGAAGCATGTGGACAACTTTAAATCCTTTTTTTTTTGGTGAAAATTTGCACTCTGAATCACAGCCATCCTGTATAAAAGTTTAAGCAAAAGGGTGAAAGTTTCAGAATTTAAAGAGTTTGAGGCATGGGAAAGATAACAAATAATAGCATTTATTATTGTCATATTTACTTTGAGGGTTAGATTGCAAAACAAACAAATTTATGAGGAGAAGCACAATACTTAAAAGGGCAAAAATATCGAGGATCAATAATGATGATGGAGACAATGACAGTGATGATGATTTAACTATATGGTATATCAAATTCTATGGTAGTTTTTAGTATAATAATTAATATTTATCATAAATTTGTCTTACAATATTGCCTTCAATTCAATATAAATAATGTGTTTTCCTGTCTCTCATCTCTTCAAATTCTGGGATTCCACTCTTTAATTTCACCTTTGAAAATGAATACTATGATTAGTCTATAAGCGAGAAAAAAAAGAAAGCTGTGTGTGTATGAATTCATATATGGTTCCCTTGTGCTACTCTCCTTTGGGGACCATGGGTAACGTAGACTTGTTGGCATAAGTAAGTTCCATTTATTTTTGCCTTATGAAATGTGCAGTTAAGGCTTTCTCACATCATCATATTTGAACACATCCCACCTGACTAGGGATCATCATCATCTAAGCCTTGTACTATTTATATTGGGGTTGGTTGGCTACACGATTCTGCTTTGTCATTCTGTTCTGTTCTATGCCACATACAGTGTTAAATTATGAAACCTTGAATCATTTCTCATTTCTTTGTATCTCAATCCCATATCCTTTTTGGCCTACCCCTAGCTCTTCCAACCCCTTCAACTTGTAACAAATTACTTCTTTTATGGTGCTGTAATTGGTCTTCTCTGCATTGGAGCTACTCCTAGGTTCCTTAAAATGAGTTTATTTTTTTGGTCCTGTCCTTTGATCCTTTCTAGTTTTTCCACTCACCCATCTCAATATTCGCATTTCTGCTACACTTGTTTTTTAGGTATGTTATTTCGTGTTTCTTGACTCCCCAACACTCTGTTCCTTTTAGCATAACTAATATTCGCCTATGACATGAGACTCCAGGTGTACCCCTCCATTTTTCCCATCCCATCTATCTAGGGTTATGACACCATTTATTTCTTCATCTCATTCCATTCAAGGTCATATCTTCTGAAAATAATGAATTAACAAATCTTTGCTCAGTACCTGGAGCTAAGTTTTTTTTTTTTTTTTGAGAAAAAGTTAATCAGATTTCATTGAAAGAGACAAAGAGTACATGAGCAGATGTACTACAAGAGAAAACAGCAGAAATACAGAATTACAAGGGGGGAAGCTTGTTGCTGTATAAGTTTCTTTTTAACCTCCTGTTTTTCTTTCAGAGCCTTCAACTTGCACAAAACTGCACCTTCTCACTGCTGTACTCACTATCCTTCCATTTATATGGCCAAACCAGCCATGGCATACCTAGTTAAGGCAAGGATACAGTTAAGACAAATTGTTGGACATGGAATTTACCTTATTTGTTGCCAATTGATGCTATTGCAATGTCCTCTCTAATACATATTTTTACTTTTAGTTCTTGTTTTACCATTCATTAATCTGAACTCTCTTGAAGTCTTCCTTGTCCATACTCTGTAGACAAATTTGTGAAACTTAACATATTCCATCTACATTTATGCAGGTTGACAAATAACATTTTAAGCACAACACAACAGATATGGCTCCAAAAATTAGGTGGTGCAAAAGATCCAATGGCACAGTTTAGTGATGCTACCTCTAGGGAAGAGCTATCAAAGATTCAGAAACCAGTCATTCAAGCAGGATCAACTGTAACAGAAACCCAACAAGAAGAAAATTCAACTTCAGGAGGTCTACGCCGTGGTGAAAGGTAAACAGTTACTGATTCCTTCACTTCTAACTTTATTGTAAGCAAATCCAGTCGTTTCTATAAGGTTAACCAACGTGTTGCTGTCTTCTCCTTCTCCCCAGATTTAAACAGATAAAGGAGCAAGAAGCAAGGAGAAGGCAACAAAGGGAAGAAGAAAGGAGGAAAGCAGAAGAGGCAGTTAAAGGAGCTGGAATAATAAATGTAGAAGATGAGTCTAAAGCTAAGCTAGCCAAAGAAAAAGCTGAAACTGAATTAGTTGATATTAGGAATGAAAGAGTTGAGCCTGTGAATGACATGCAAATTTCATCTAATATTGGAGTTCCTCTTGTGAATGGTGATCAATCCATACAGGACTTGGAGAAAGATCATAACAGTATGACTGCACCTAAGATGGAAAATGGTGGACTTGCTGTAGACAGCGAGCTAAAAAGGAAGGATGAGCATCATTCGAATGAAAATCTCAAAGAGGTAGCATTTTATTTGGAACTGTACTTTACACTTTTAAAGCCATATCATATTTATACTCGTAAAAGTTGGCTTTAATTTTTTTTGGCAAGTAAAAATGATTCAAGCTGCTTTAATAGGTTAATTAATTCAGTTAGGCTTTCTGTCTGGATAAGCTGCCGTATTTACTGGGAGAAACAATATGCCCATTCCAAATCATCCAGAGTTTTTGTGAAATACAAATACGCATTATATAGGGGACCTTTTTGTGCATTGGCCATGTATTGCCCCAGTAGAAACCACAAAACACCAATCTGATTTGTAACAAGTGAAAGAAAAGAGAAAAGAGAATCCTGCGGAGAAGAGAAGAGAGAAATAGAAAAGAATGGGAGAAAGTAAGAAACTAATCTGGCCGCCCCTTTCATTAACTTATATATTCATAAAAAAAAGACTACAATGACAACTATACCCTTAGTAAGTCAGCTGATACTAAAAACACTTAAAAGACGCTCTTAATAAAACATAAACTAATGGGCCTTGGGCCCGATAACTCTAACTAAGCGTTATGAACAAACTAAGTGTTATCAGCCCAAACTCAACAGCCCCTAATCCACATATGCCCCATCTCCCACATTTGCATTGGGTCTTTTTAAAAAGTGATATAGCCACCCAGTAAAAGCTATTTTTTTAATGTAAAAATTCTCATAATGCGGATATGTGGCAAGGAACTTGCTGAAACTTTCATCTCTCCATAATCATGTTGAAAATATTACTCTTATTCTTATGTGCAAAGAAAATAAAAGGAAAAGGAAAAGAAGAGAAATAAAAATTTATAACACGCAGAACAAGATTTAACTCTATGCATTAAGATGAGAGCTTATTGCCTTGGGTGGGGGGNGGGGGGGTTGTTAAAAGAACAAACTTATGATGTGTAAAACTTTGGTGCCTAAATCTATTTGTGAAATAATAGAATCAATTACAACTCACCAGGCCTTACACCTAACCTAAAAATGCAGTCTATTGCCTACAGTTTTTTTTTGGTTATTTCAGAAATAAGATCAAAGAGATAAATCATAGTCAAAGCAATTCATCATGCGTTTATGAGGCAGCTGTTGTACTCTTAAGAGTGTGTGCGTCTTGTAGTTGTATTTGTGCCATGGAGGAGTTCCTGCCTGTTTAGGGGTTCTCCCCTCCCCTCCCCTCCTGTTGTATCTTGTATTTTTCTATCAATAAATTTTCTTCAATTTTTTCACCCAAAAAAAAGCGCAGATATACAAAGTACCCAAAAAACTACCCCAAATGGGAAGATTAGAATTATTCCAGATCTACTCCTTTCTTTGCTAGTGAGTCAATAACAGAGTTGGCTGATGTTTGAATGCCATTAAATGAGATGTTAATCCTTGAGCTAAAGGTTTTCCCTTCCTAAGATAATGGAAGAGACCAAGGTGTATACTTCCATCCACATCCATATCACTTGTTTCCCCCAACCTCTATTCCAGTATGCCTTGAGATTTCAACCTCAGCTTTTGACGTCAATAACAATAGCTTATGGACCTGAATAGATCAATACTATATTTCCCTATAGCTCCTAGAGGCACCACCAGCCCCTTGTTGCCTTGAACTTCCTGGGATTTCAAAAAGAGCAACTCTCAAAATTCAGTTTGGTGAACCTCCGTCAGTTTAGTGACAAATGCTGATGAACCAGTACTGTACTTGTGCCTACCTCTTGATATACCATCAGCAGTGAAATTAACTCCTCTCTGGTACTAACCAAGTTTTCCACTCATATGGTTGTGAGCTTAAACAATGCTGCCTCAGTATTGTTGATTCCTGTTGATCCCAGTTAGGGGGTTCTACCCCAATATCCTTGTTGAACCATGGAAAACCTTGGCTCTATCATGTGGAAGAGGGAAAGAACATTTTATAAAACAAATTTTGTTAGTCGAGAATATAAATAATCAAGAGAAAAAAGATTGACCATTCAAAAGAGGAAGAAATGCTGGAATTAGGTCATTTGCAGATCTATGCATATTAAATTAGATTAGGTAATTTGACAATGGATATGGAAATGAACAGAACAGAATGGAAAAAAAGGATAAATGTTGCCAACCCCATAAGTTGGGACAAGGCTTGGATGATGATGAGGTAATTAGAAGGTTTGAGTGAAGAGAAAGCTTTCTAGTAGCAGAATCTCAGTAATTTGAGAATGGAGGGATTTTAGGGGTTAAATGTTGTTATTCTTGATAAGAATGCATGGGGTTAGAAAAGGTTCCAGCAGCGAGATTCTTTCCCTTTGCACGGGTACTTTATTGCCATTGCATTTATCAAAAAACTTCTTAGTTAAACCTTCTGGAGAATCACTACTAAATAAACATGATACGCTGATTACATGAATGTTTTCTTTTACATCTCTGAATTCTCATATTTTCTGCATATATTTTTGTTATACTTGAATGTGTTTTCTTTTTACTTGGGAATTTCTCTAAGATCTAAATTAAGATGATTTGAACAGACTACGTGAATGTTTTAATTGAAGAAAAAATTTATGAAAACTAAAGGGTTATTTGATATGGAAGTACTCAAAATGATGATTGTCTATATTTGATATAAAATTTATAGTTATTCGATGAACATTATTGTTGTTTGTTAGTGCAAATGATTGATGCAAAATAAGAAATCAACTTAGGATTTAGGGGTTTTTTACATGCAAAACTTATTGCCTAGTGGATGCTTAGGTTCTACACCTTGGCACCTTAAAAACTATGCTTAGAACTACAACTTACCCCTCTCTCTCTCTCTCTTGTTTGAAAGTATTTATCATTCTCTTTGATGTATACTTGAAGCTGCATATATTATCATTCCATCATTTCTTTCAGTATTTTCCATTTCATTATTTCGTTGTTTCCGTTCCTTTTGATGCTTCTTTAAAGCTTAATATAACTAGGAAATTAACATAATCGTAGTTCAATGGAAAAAGATGACACTTGTGCGCATTCTCTTGCACTATCAATAACTTCTGTATCTCAGAATGGTGCTCTGAAAATTCACGTCCTCGGAAATTTCTAATATTTCAGGAAAAAGTGGTTGAAGCATACACTACCAAATTTAATAAAGAAGCTGCGGAAAATACTCACCGCGAGAAATTAGAACAGCCTGGTCAGAGGGATGAAGCTTAGGCATTGCATGATTGGTATTTGTGTTCAAATTGAGTAAGATTCCTGTGACCGTGCTTTGGCTTCCATCGTAAGGTGCAGTACAAAAGTTGACGTCTTGACGAGTCTCCTTTCAGTAACATGTAGACCATTGCTAGGCATTTATTTGTATCGAGTAAGGCAGCGGGCTACACAAGCTACTGGTCTGGTCTGGGTCCCTGGGAAAAGTTTCTGATAGTTGGAGGCTGCGGTATTTTTCTTTCAGGCCTATACATCTGCAACAGATGATATACTTGGTAGAGTCTTCAGACCCCATGAGGGGATATTATCTTCTTGTGTATAGAAGTCTCTGCAAATGTCATCTACTTGCTGAATTTCTCGTTACTGAGGAATTCGTATTATTCAACCAAAAATACTGGCATGATCTAATGCAGGTATTATGGCGGGCATATCCAATTATTGATGCTTTGCCCAAGAGAGCCTTTTTGTTGTACTGACTACTGAGTTTGGTCGATTTATGAGCATATCCAATTATAATGCATTTATAAGAAATTTCATGAAAGCTACAATTTCAATTTGGGAAAGCAATTATCAAGGGAGTTTGTTTAGTAGATTAACACGGTGAAAGCCTGGATGCTACGGAAGCTTCTATTAACATCCATGATCCATCATTAAAGATATATTGAAGGAACGAACCTTGGGGGAGAAACAAATGGTGGAGGATACCTATTTTAATACATAAATACATATAAAAGGAATCACAAAGAGAAGTCAAGAGGAATATATCATTCAAAGCTATTAACGTTTATAACACGATCCCCGTCATCATCACCGACAACAGATATGATAAAGTGTCACTGTAAAGTGTTAACCAGGTGAACCATGCGTCTGTAAAACAAGTACACCGACCAAACAGGCATGACATTTTATAACAGCATTTTCTCCAACTTGTTTTTTTATGACCAACTTGTTTATAGCTTCTACTTGATATCTCAATGCAAACTGAATCTAAACCTGCATGAACAGGTATCAAAGATCAATCTCTATACAGAAGGCGGGATCAATCCAAATAAAAGAACATAAAAGACCTCTCCATCAGGCTACTGAGAAAAACACCATCAGAAGAAAGCCACCCATCCTATTCCTATGCACCTCCAAGGCATACAAGTAAACAGTCATGAGAGGGGGTACGATGCAATGCAACAACATACACGATAAACAAGCAGAAAGCTTTTCTTTTCTTTTATTTTTTTACTTTCTCCATTTTTCCATTGGTTTCTCAACCAAGGGTAGAAGGGGAAGAAGGTGAAGGAGTAGCATCCACACCAGATAATGCAAAAGATGGCAACAGCCACCCGTTCCTCTTGGCATGTTCCACATAGAACCTAAACTTCTCCCCTGCATTTGGAATGTCGAGAGCCAGATCATCAAGCCCATCCCTGATCCTGACAAAGCCTTTTGTCATCTGGTTAATGGTGATCAGTCCTTCTCCGAAGCACTCCTGCAGCAGATCCAGCATCCTGTCATTCTTCTTTTCCATGGCCATAACCAGCGCCTTCTTCACAACCTCATGGTTAAAGAATGGCATCCCAAGGTCACGGATGCATTGGCAAGCTTCACTAACCACACCTCCGCTTTCATACTCCTCCAGAAGCTTCGTTATCTTATCCTTGGCATCCTCAACCGCCCAACCAGTGCCACCTCCCCAGCACCTCAAGATCCTTTCACCTGCATGACGGGCAGCAACAAGTGACCGGGCCATGTGAACGGTCTCGCTCCCACTACAATTGGGTGGCAGCTTGCTGCTAATCTCATCCAAATTTAGTGGGACCAGGACATCATCGATTACTGCTCTGGCCAGGAAGAATGCTAGCTCATTTGAGGCATCCAATATGTCTAACGCTGTATCCTCCGCAGATTCCAGAAGCATGACAAACCCATTAACCATGTCCTCAGTTGAGAAAATCTCTGTATGTAGTGATGATAGCAGAACGGATGCCATTTCTTTCTCCCTGTTCTTCCTGTCCATGGCAAGGGTGATCAGCTTCTTGAGGAAAATAGGGTTGAATTCTGGAGCTGCTAAATCTTCAAGGCTTCTGATGAGTTCGGGTATGTCATCTGATAGAAAATATTCATGAATGATGGTCACAGCCTCTTCCTTGAAGTCTCTCAGACGTTTGTCATCATCTTCTAACTTACCACCTTCACCTGATGGTTTGAGAAACGAAGGATCTAGCCATCCCTCAGAAATTGCCTTTGGGACCATAGACTGGAATAAGGCTTTTGCAGATGGGATGTCAAGAGAAAGGTCATCAAGGCTCTCAGCAAGCCGGCCAAATCCTTTAGCCATCTGACTAGAACTTATGAGGCCCTCTTCTGCTGCTTCTTTCAACAGTTCTAATATATGCACCTCTGCTGCTTGGATTTCCATGGCAAGGACTAGAGCTCTCTTAACAACCTCATGATGGAAGAACGACACCCCTAATTCTCTTATACACCTGCAGGCCTCTGCAGCATCACCACTCTCAACGTATTCCCTCAATAAATCTGCCATCTTTTTCTTGACCTCCTCAACTGTGACGTGGGTGCTGCCACCCCATCTTCTTTCCACAAATTCTGCATGGTGAGGAGCTGAAAGGTAGCTTTTTTCAGCAGTTTGTATAACTTGAAGTCCTTTTGAGGTTTCTGGGAGCGTTTTCTTTGCTCTGGTCAGGAATGCTGGAGGGAGGATGTCATCAACTACTGCACGTGCAATAAACAATGCCAGGATATCAACTGCATCAAGTATGTCAAGCGCCAAATCATCAGCAGATTCAAGAAGCATTACGAATCCTTGGCTGATCTGGGCTGAGCTGATCACGTCAGCATAGAGAGCAGAGAGCAAAACAGAAGCCATTTCCTTCTCCTTATCATGCCTATCCATGGCCATGGAGACAAGCCTCTTAACAAAGTAATGATGATACTCACTTGACCCTAGATCTCTGAGATCAGATGCTGCTAACTCCACACCACCAGTGCTGAAGTACTCCTCTATGATAGAAACCACTACTTTCTTATATTCATCGAAGGGATCAGAGACGGTAGTGCCTATGAGATGATATGGTTCCTGGAGGAAATCAAGGAGATAAAATAAATATGATTGCATGAGATTCCATTCCACTACAGTGAGCTTTAGCAAGTGGAACTACAAGTGTTCGTTGAAGCTCCTGACAATGAGAATAGATAATTCACCCACTTAGAAAATGACATGATAAAATGACAAAGCTGACTGCAAGTGAGAATGGCTAAGACCTCTCCACTGTCGTAGTTTGGATCATTCCGATCAACACATGAATCGCCATCAGTGTCAAGTAGTTTACCCCACGTGCCCTTGCCACCAGCACCATCTATCACCATCATTTTAGAGGAGGAACAAGTTATCAACATAGGCAAATAAGTAATTTCTGATTGAGGACTACCAAATCTATTGCTAATTGAAAATTATTAAGAAAATAAGCAGAGGGAACAGAAATGCAAGGGATTGCTGGTTGGGGACAATGGAAATCTAAGAACATTGATAGGTAAAGATCATTAATCAAATAAGCAGTAGGAAACAGTCCATAGCTTCTGCTAACCGTAACTTCTAAACAAAAAATGAGCTGCAGAAGTTGATCCACAAAACATTGAATCTATAATAGACACCCTGCATGTTCCTATATTACCGTTCAACAACCTCCAAAATTTCATATATTAGTGTTCAATAAACCTCCATTTTAGATAGCGTGCATGCCAGGATGAATCCCAACAAGCGGGCCACATACATAAGTGGATGCATATTCGATCCATCACTGGCTTGGCTTTCCTATAACTTGTGGACATCTCAGTCCCTTATAAAACTGGCACCACCTATTTGTAACTTTGTATGCCTATCCATCTGTTTGTGTAACATAAAAGGATAATGTTGGGCAACACTTTTACTATTTTGTTTGTATCCTACCATTTAGCTTTTCGATGGTAGGATGTTTTACACCCTGCATTAAATCCCTGTTACTGTTACTCATCACAAAAAAATAATGGTACACAAGAAACCGCGCATACATCTAAAAAGGTGTTTAACCAAGGAAAACAAGATGTTGTAGGCTCGTCTATCAAAACTCCAACTGAAACATCTTGAAGTATTCAATGAGGGGATGTCAGAAGTTCGGGCACAAGGAATGTAATATTAGCTCAACACACAAAAAGCAACAACGAGTTGCACTGGATGATAAATGACTGGGATTATCCGATAAAAAAAATGACTAGAATAAGTAATAAACAGGAAACAATGCAAACACAGTTAAATTTGGACAGAGTTAAATCCATCTACGTGCACAAACTCATCGGGCAATATATTGCAACTGAAATGTTACGTTGGTGGCCAGGGATAAGCAACGAGAAGGCAATTGGATTTGGAGCAAAGAAAATACGTTGAAACCCAAGAGCTCACCCTTCTTCACGCGCGGAAGCTTTCCAGAGTGTGACCTGCGCACGTGCCTGACAGCAAATCCAAGCGAGGGAGCTCTCCCACCCGTGGAAATCTTTATCTGATGTTCAGAGAGTAACGATGAAGGGGATTTGGGTGACGAGGATAGAACCTCCGCATTCTGCGATGCTTGTCTTAACAATTCCCTCTGCTCATCGGTCAGAAAACCCTCATTTGAAGCCATTTACTATCAGGAAGTCAAGAGAAAAAAATGATGACAGTCAGACTAACAGAGTTGAACATTTTTATCACCAAATATAGGGTTTCCGTTTGTTTGGCACAGATTTTATACAAATCAATACCCCAAAACGGATAGACCTTACAAACGGAAACAGTAATTGCAGGTGAAATAGTAGTAGAGTCTAAGAACTTTACCTTGTAGATGTACAGAAGCGACGCGTAAAAGGAAAAGTGTAAGTAAGAAAAACCTCTGCACTTCAAGTGGATAAAACCAGTGAGTAAGAACCCTAATCCAACATTGAAGTTGCAGAGATCTTTCTTGAAAAAAAAAAGCTTCTGCCCTTGGCCCGGATCTCGAGCCAAGCCAGGAGAAGCAATCAGATCTCAGAATCGAAGGAGAAGAAAAGGGAAGAAGAAGAAGAAAGGCGGGTAGAGTTGCAGAAACCCCGGGTAGAAACGCTAGATTGCAGGAAGCAGCAGATCCAGAAGTGGCTCCCGCCCTCGCCCCTGAGTATTGAAGACGACAGAAACAGAAAGGGAGAGGGGAATAGGGGTGGTGGTGAGTGGTGAGTGGTGAGTGGTGAGTGGTGAAGTGAAGAATGAATGAAAGAGTGGCTCCGGGGGGCGGCCGGGGCAGGGTCGTCGGAGGGTTTTTATATATATATAATCCAAAAGGAGGATTGATTGAGGATTCAGTTACTTGTACACGTCACCAGGAGTTTTGAGTATATCTCTTCATGTCTCCACGTGGCGACGGCAGTAAAGTTGAGATGGCTGTGCTGGTCCCGTCCCGCCGTTAGGGTTTTCTCTACTTGATATTACCCAAAAGACCCTACTTATAATTACAATTATCGCTTCAGAATTTTTCTTTTGGGTTGGGGTATCCACTATCCACTCTCCGCTGGGGAAGAGAGATTAGATGATGAACTTTTATTGTACACCGTTGATCCATGCACAATCACACCTTAGATCCATCATCTATCAGAAAATCAATCACTTTGTACATTTTGTAGAATGAATGATGAATACGATCATCCAGCACTCGCAGAGTCGCAGAGAAGCAGAGCAGATGAGAATTCGTAGCAAAGAGGCCGGGAGCAACAAGTACGGATCTGCCATAACTTAATCGGATAGGGCAGGGAGCATTTTTGGGCCAATTTCCGTCGGTATCAAAGTGAAGAAGATGCTCTCGTTAACTTGACTGGCATCTCAAACAAATATCTCTACATGCCGCGGGAGACATGCTCAAAAATAAGATCGGATCTGCTCCTCACAAAATGCGCTGCACACCGATTTCACATGCACATCCTATTCGAAATATCTTCGGAACTTATAAATCATTATTCACGGGAGATGTTCCAAATACATGATGGATGTACCTGTAAGGCCCCACCCTCAAAAATTACTCCCAACAATAAATAGTGGTATGCCTCTCCACCTGATTATTGAACAGTGGCAGATGTATTGAATTGGCTGGAACCATGATTCCCTAAGGCAAAACATTGACCAAGAGTCAATACCCACGTGTGCTAGCTATCACTCCCAACAGTGTATTCATGGGAGATATCCCCATCTCGAAGCTAACACACTTTGATAAGCATATAGTTAGTTCAATTTATCATTCTTGTAGTTAGTTTAATTTATGACTTTTTGATTTAGGTCCTGATTGTTTTTTCTTATTTCTTATTTTTTAAGATGAATTTTTTAACTTTAAGAGAAAAGTGGTTTTTCGTTTCCTCTTATCTTTTATCTCAAATATAATCATACAACTTTTTGTTTTCTAATGATATTTTTAAAAAGACAAACAAAAGCTTTTATATATGGGGTCGAAATGAATATTTGATCATTTTTATAATTTAGAATTTAAAACAACATTCTCTTCATTTAGAGGAAAGAAAAGTTCATCAATACCAATATACCTCTTAATATAATTATTGCACTTTTAGATATCAAACTTCAGAGGAAATGAAGAAGCCCTTAGAAAAATAAGCACCTCATCCTCATCTTTTTTYTTTTTTTTGGTTGGAAGCTGTTATGGAAATTCAAAATTCTATACCATTTCCAAATTTTCATATAGAAAATATTATGGAAAGGTTTACCAACAAAAGACAAATGTTATCACTGGCTACATCACTTATATTTAAGTTGTTCTCTTTGCTCAGGAAATCCCGAAACCCCTTACATCATTTATTTTTCCATTGTCCCTTGAAAATCAGTTTCTGCAAATTGATGGATGATATGATCCTCTAACAGGTTGTGCAGAACGCACTTCCATCCAAAACGAGTGCATAGAGGCTAAACCATATATGAAGGGAAGCCATGTTGGGCCATCAGCCCTTATGATGTAGAACCAAGAACTTTGTTGGCTGGGTTAAAGGCAGCTTCAGATCAAGGAGTGGTTATATTATCGGTCTATAGTGACTCAAAGCGGCTTATCTCTTTTTTGCAGAACATATCTAAGGTTATGTTTGGGAGTGTTTAAAAATAAATGGTTATTCAAAATAAGTGTTTCTTTGGGTCATTAAGCACTTATTGGTATTTGGGAAATAAGCCCCGAAATAAGTGATTATTTTAAAAATAAGGACTTATTTTTTAAGCCCTAATTTCTAGTTTTTTTAAGTGCTTATATGATAAGTACTGATTCAATTTTTTTCTTGTAAAATTATCCCTAGTTGAATTTTATAAAAGTACTTTTATGAAATCACTTTTAAGAAAGTACTTTTATGAAAGCATTTTTACAATAGTACTCTTACAAAAACACTTTTATGAAAGTACTTTTAGAAAAGTGCTTTCGTAAAAGTATTCATAAAAGTACTTTCGTAAAAGTGTTTTTATAAAAATAATTTATTAAAAGTGCTTCCAAATGGTGTATTTTGAAAATTTGAAAGAAAATGAAAAACAAAATAGTCGCAAATACTTATTAGAGAAAAAGACTACCAAACACTCGATATAAAATAAGAGCTTATTTTAAAAAATAAACACTTGAAGAAGTTGGATACCAAATACAAATAAATGCTTATTCGAATAAGTACTTATTTTTAAGCACTTATTCAATAAGTACTTATTTTTAACATAAGCACTCCCAAACATAGCCTAAGACTAACTTATGAATTGAGCGACTGCATCAGTTAAAAATCAAAAAATTAGTCAAATTACTGAATACTTTCTCAATTTTATTTTTGTTTCATGTAAATAGATCAGAAAATCAAGCTGCTCATATACTAGCTTATATGGCATGTAAAGCAGAAGTATAACTATTACCATATATAAATAAAACTGCCTTCATTTTTGAAAAAAAAAAAAATTAGGATCTCCTACCAACAAAACATGTTCCAATATCCTATCAATAATTTTATGAGATATCATCTTACTATAAAATTGGGCCTACCATAAAAAGTAGGACCTGTTATGTATGAAATATACGGTGTATGATATGTTGGTAGGGTCCGCCTGAGCCATATATAAAGGCATCATATGTGATGGATGGGAAGGCAACATTTGAAATATTGTCGTGGCTATATGCTTGTGAAATTCAAATAATTATTTTTATTTTATTTTTTTTCAGTTCCAAATAGTTGGAAAAAGCACACTAACATTACAAATTTACAATTTAGAACTTCTGACCTAGAAAAAATGTAAACACATATCATGAGAATATTGATAATTGCGTGGGCCATCTGATGCTAATAAATCACTACAACTCAAAAGTGGGCCACACCCACAACACATTAATCAACATAAATAATTCATCAATGCAGTTTTTTTTAATTTTACATTAATCAATGCAGATTTGGGACTATAAAACAAATTAAAATGATACATTAAACTAGAACATCAGAATATTGTGGGCCGGGGCTAATTAAGATGACGCAATTGAAATATGAATGGATCGATATTAGGCTCATGGCCACTCATAGGGTCTATTTTTTTTAAAGCCAAATGAGAGGCCAACGACTCTATCTATGCTTCCAATGTAAGAGGCTACGGAAAATGATTTATGTTTCAAAATGACTAAATGCATATATAATATGACCACGATGTTTGGCTCTATTTATTTGGATCAAAATTGAAGCTAGGCACAAAGGATTAATTCCGTTTATAATTTATCCTTCTTAAAGATGAGAGTATCTACTATCTCCCTTTCCCCTTACGTAGATTTTGCACTATAAGATGCGTTCGTTGACGCAGGCGGATATTCATTCCGTAAATTTCCCTAACGGCTGAAGCTGAGGATGCATGGATTGATTTTAATTTTCTCGAATATTTTTTTTCATTTACTTCGTGGGTCAAAAGGCAATCCGGTTCAGCCACTTCAGCCGTTGAATTTCCAAACCACCGGTTAATATTTTATAGTGAATTTCCGGTGATGATTGAAGAAGTTAGGGCTAAGGAAGAGACATGCCAACCACTTTGTGTAATTATTTTTGTCCTGTCAAGTAATTTGCTAACTGGTAATTAAGCACTACTGGTGAATACCTGTGTGGAAGCTATAACATTCCATCAATAATGCAACGCTTGATGCATCTGCTCTAAAGGGAGATGCATCTTCGAATAAATATAAATAAAGGTGATAGAGAATCGATTGCCCTACAGCTACAATCAACACATCTAATATAATTAAGCCCATAGAATTGAGGGTGGGCTTTGTTTGCTTCAATTGAATAATTCCTAACATAGAAATTAATAGTCCATAAGCTGATCGATGTTATTTAAGTTAGAACTTTAGATTTAATCAAGGCCACAAGGCCCACAACTGCATATACCGGACCTATCGATCCCTACCCTAGCTACATGGAGATTTTATGAATTATGATATATTTGGATTTTGTAACATCAACCTTCATATGATTGCAAAGCTGTCATACTTTGCTTCGAAGCTTGCAATAAAGAAATATTTTATTACCAAAGAAAGGGGTCGGGGTTGCAGAAAACGTCATCATGTTTTAAAGAAATTAATGGAGTAATGCTATGCTCTACAGTCTACGTTACCGTTTTAGTATATTGTTTGGACACTTATTATATATTTTTTGGGGTTCGATCGTTCATAAGCAACTGCAAATTATATATTTTTTGGGGTTCATCGTTCATAAGCAACTTCAAATTGTATAAGCATAAGCAATTGCAAATTATATATTTTTTGGGTGTTCTCTATTGTGAATGGTTTTATATTTTTTAGGTTATGTTTGGTTTGAAGAAAAAGATAAGTAAAAAAAAGGAAAATCTATATAAAATTTTTAAAGGTTTTTCTACATTTTTCTTCCTTTCTCTACCTTTCCTTTAAACCAAATATACCCTTAAATAAAAATAACTGTTACATCAGCAAAAGTAATATTAATGTATTACTTTTAGTGTTAAGGCAGTTGTCTTTTTCTATAAAACCAAACAATTCACATATATATATATATATATATATATATATATATATATATATATTTTTTTTTTCTTTAGATTATTACTTCATTGCCACAATAACTTGGCTCCGGTTAATCATACTTTCGTTACCCTAATTGCAGATTGGGCCTACCGTAGCCTCAAATTTTCAGTTCAGGTAAATAAAGATCCTCATAATTAACCTGAGATGGAAACAAAGAAAGTAATAAAGAGAAAAGTAATAGGGTTTCATACGGAAACAGCATCTACTTTCTAAGGTTCGTGAACCCAGAAGAAACCCATTAAGGGAGATGGTAATGGTGCCATGGTTTTTAAAAACGAATCGGTTAGGGCTCTGGTTATCGATTCGAATGATTCAACCGGCCCATTCTAACAAAAAAATAAAAATTTAAAAAATTTAAAAACGATCAAAACCATTTGAACGATTAACTGGCCAGTTCAGCGGTTTGTTGATCAAAACTAATGGTTTTAAGGGAAAAAACGACTGGTCCAATTTTGAAAACAGTGAATGGTGCTACTAAAAGGTGTACTACGGGTGCTACATTGATCACTGAACTGATCTCAGGCCTAGTTGTCAACTGAGATAGTAGGCTAATAAAGGACCATTATCAATATGTTTCTTCAATTTCACCTCACTCTGCCTTGAGCCCTTCATATGTCAAAATATGTTTCAACTCGAGGTCCTATAAATTATAACAGAGACGTTTTCTTCTTTAATCACATTCATCAACTATAGTCAAGTCAGCCTCCATCCCTTGAAAGTAGGAATGTCAATGGGTGGGGTTAAATGGTAAATTTAACTTGATTTGATAGAATCTCGCTATTTAGGATTGGATTAGGGTTTTGATTCTTTGACTCAAATTGGATTCGAGTTTTGATTCTTGACCTGAGTAGGGTTTGAGTTTTGGTTGATCCACCCCATCGGGTCATGATATCTTGCATAGTTGCATATATATCAAGTATTCTTGCAAATTTTTGACTTCTAATTTTAGACTTGAAGTTTATAATTTATTTATATATTGATTTTGATTTTTTTTTTATTTTTTTAAATGGAAAAAATAACACCTTAAAATCTATTAAATGATTTCCTTATTTAAATTAATATATTTTAGGTCATCAAAATGTGTAAAAAATACATTTAAAATTATACGAGTCAAATTGGGTCAAAATCAGGTTAAACCCTATGGGGTCGGGTTGGATTCGTAATTGAGTATTTTTAGCCAAACCGAATTGGGTCGGATTGAATTTGGATTGGAGTGCTGAAGGATTGGGTTAAGATTGAAGCAAACATATGTCGAACTCGACCCGTTAACATCCCTACTTGAAAGTTGAAACACACACATAACAACAGTTTCTTTCTTTCTCTTCCTTTCTTCTTATTTTAATGAATGAATGACGGAATTACACCTTGTAATACGTTTTTACCCTCATAATTACGTTACAAGAGGTTGGTTCAGCCCATATCAGCGCAGGTCAAGCTCGGGTTGCAGGCTTGGCGCTAATTATCCGGCTCGGACCATGTCATGTTCTTTATAAGCGTGAGTGCTTTGAGGTTGAGGAAAGAAATTATACAAAACAGCTAGACCCGGTCATGTAACGGGCCTGAACAGGTGTTAACAACTAAGGGGTGGCCCGTATTAGCTAATAGTGGCTGTGACTGTGTGATGCCATAAGACATTGGTGGAACATGAAGCTTGTTTTACAGAAGTCCTAAAGCAATTTGTTGTTTTTATTTTTTTATTTTTTTTATAAATCCTTTATTCCCTTATGCATCCTCGGATATTCTAAAATGTCCTTAAACCTCCTCTCAACTTTTATTTGCCCTTAAACCGAGTTTAGATCTGTACCTCACAGTGTCCCATAGTATATCCCCATTATCTATTGGAAACATCAAGACTGATATTATCATGAGGAGATGTTCTTAATGTATGGCGGAGATGTGCTGTGGGATATTGTGGGGTGCAGATGTGAATTCCCTTAAATCTCCTCTAACTTTTGGGAATAAAAGGACTTAGAGACCCACCCCTTTCGTTGCTTTTAAGTGGATAGAGATATTAAATGATTATTATTCTCATATTAATAGTTAGATGAATTTTCCTAATTCTAGCTTTACTCCTAAACTGTTAATATGAGTAAACCCCTTTCGTGCCAAGTTTGAGAGTGCTTAAAACGAAATACTTATTCAAATAAATGCTTATTTTAGGTTGGAATTACACCGTTTAAACACTTATATGTTTAAGAAATAAGTATTTATTTAACAAAAATAAGTGATTAAACAATAAATCCAAATTTTTAGCTTTTTTTAAGTGATTAAACAATAACCACATATTCCAATTTTCTTTACCAAAACTATCCCCAATCATTTTTTAATTTTCCAATTTTGCCCTTTAAAGGTAAAAACGAAGGGTGTGACACATCGAGGCTTTCTTCTCCTTTGCCTTCTACAACCAGTGGTGGAACTGGGATAGCTTGGCTGATTACTGCTCTTGTCCATCGAGGTTATCTTCTCCTTTGCCTTTTATTTCGAATTTGTTCTTTCATTTGTTTTCGTTATTTTTCAGTGGTTTTCTGCTCTTTCTCCATCTTCTCATTGTTTCACTGCGGGGGTAATCTTCTGGTCTAAATTGGGGTTTTTCCACTACGTCCAGCAGTGGAGATTGGTTACCAACGGAAGAAATCGGTTAGTAGTTTCATGGGTACCCAGTGGAGAGATAGAAAGAGAAAGAGAGAGAGAGCATCACTCACATAAGTTTGAAAAACTCATGATATATTTTAAAAATTTGAAAAAAAAGCAAAAGAATCATAAATGCTTATTAAAGAAAAAGATCATCAAACATCTAATATAAAATAGGTACTTATTTTTTAAAATAAACATTTAAAAAAACTGAGTATCAAATGCTAATAAATACTTATAAGTACGTATTCAATAAATACTCCTAAACATGACCTTAATATTGAGTAGAGCAATAGAAGGGGTTTAGAAGCCCCTTTATCCACAAAAGTTTGGGAAGGTTTAAGACATTTTCAAAAAAATTCGGGGTTTAGAAGCAAATAGAAAAAAGAATAAAAAAAGGAAAATCCAGAGGAGAATTAAAGGAATTTCCATTTTTTCGATCTTTATTGTCCAAGAAGAGCGATACCTACCTACCTAAGAGTTTAGGACTTGGCAAATGGCAGGGTGGGCCTGAATGGCTGAGCTGGGCAGCCCAAATCCATAGAAGACTCTCTATAAATATTCACCTGTTGAGCCGTTGAGGGTCGAACCAGTTACTTGGAGATAATCACAACCCAATAATTAGGACCCTTAAGGTTGCTTCCTGTTTAGGAAAGTGGAGGCGACTCCTTCAGAGTCCAATAACTTCTTCCTTTCTTTTTATCTACTAAACTAATAAAACCGATTGTCATTGATTCCGCTTCATTTGACAGGGAAGAGATAAAGGTTGGCGTAAAACATTAGCTTAACTATTAACTATTAGCTTGTGGGGATTGGCAATCTATTTTATTCAACCCTAAGATTTGTGGTCGATGATCAATCTATACACGGAAAACAAAACTCCGCATTACATGCAACATTGGCACTACTGGACTGGCTGTGCGGCTGTGCCTCTGTTCCTTGTGATAATGGAACGATCTTATAATTAGAGTCACTAGAAATAACGGAACAATGTATATAGAAATAGAGCATTGATTAGGGTGCGCCGTGCTACGTCTACGTGTCGCTTAGGTTGCCGTGCATCCCTTACGTGTTTTTGTGATTTGTCTTTCGCTAACTCAAATATCATCAATCAAATAAATAAATATAGTGAGGGACGGACAATGCCAAGTGTCCTGGGGTTAGACACTTCATTTGCCACGTGTTAAGTTTCAGTATGGATAGATACATAGATCCAAAGCCTGTTGCCTGCGAATCTGGCATCCTCGAAAGAATTGAGAATTGAGAATTCTCTATCAATTCTCTCACTCACCACTCTTTCCGTTTAACCGCAATGTATGGTTAAATCTGTTACCGTAGTTAAGAGAGGTATAGGGAGAAGGAGGACTCACCTCTCACCTGGCACAGCAGCTCCATATATAATGGGAAAAGAAGTCTGCTACCTCTCCGCTTCGGAGACACCTCATCGCTTTAAAACGTATAGAGGAGGATAGAGAAGCAATTGAACAAGAGAGGAAAAAAAATTCCTTTCTTTTATTGCCAATTTTCCCCCAACTTTTCCTATCGGATCTCTTATCACAATTCATTTGCTTAAATCGCTTTTCAATTTCACAATAAAATCTCAGAGGTTCACGTCTGTGACCAGATTCTCATCCTTTTCTCCTTCTTCTGCTTCTTCTTCTTCAATTCCAGCCCAAAATCGTTTCTTTCTTCCGGATAAATAGGGATTTTCAAAGAATTCACAGATGCGGTTGGATTTCGAGGAATATTCGTCGACTCTGGAATGTAATTCTCGTTTCCAATTTCTTTATTCTTGATCCGTAACGATCGGGAAGCAGGGGCCTGAAAACTTCTGATCTCTTCTGTTGACGGGTCGGTTGTTTGAAGTTGTATGATAACGATTTCACTTATATATTGTGAAGGGAAACTCTTTGTGGAGTTTGGATTTAGAAGTCTGGAAGAAATTTGTGTTTCTTTTTTGCTAGTTTTCTTTGTAAAAAGTGATAATCTATAAGCCCCTGTTTTCCAGCTTTTAATTTGATTCCCTTTTTTCCCTGTTTGTTAGATTGAATCTGGCTGAGTTGTGTTACTGTTCTCAATTTGATAATCTCGAAATTTATGAGAAACAGTGAAGTGAAACGATGAAAACATAAAAATAAAAGCCTTTTCCTATTCCTTTTCCTTTTTTTTTTTGTTTTTATTTTTGTTTTTGTTTTTTTTCCTAGTTTCTTTTGGTTGCAGAATATCCCTTTTTTTTCTCAGTTTACTGTTTTTCTTTTCCCAATTTTTTCTATCCCTCTATGTGTATGATTCTCTTTTTCTCCTTTTTCTTACGCGTATGGGTGTATGTGAATATCCTGGTTTTGGTCTCTTTCTTCTTCTTGATTTGGCCGTTCCGACTGGTTTTGCGGAGTTTTGGTCATCATGCATCATCAAGAAACATTCTCAAGGGTCAGCCTACGTCACTTTTTTTCCATCTTTTCTTGTTCGTTTCTTGGTACGTTTTTTCAAGTTAATTCGATCCGTTTTTTTTTTCTACTGCAAATTCATATATTTGGTCAATCGGTCCTTATATACTGTCTATTATCTATTGCCGATCGTTTTCTTTTCTCCGTCGCGCCGTGCTTGTGAATTGGCTCTGGATTTTCTTTTCCTTTTAGCTGGGTCTTTTGTTAGTCTAACATGTGACGGAGTTTTATTATGATTTGTTCAAAATGGAAATGTTTTACAGCTTAGTTGGATTAATTTTTGCAATGTTAATGGCGATGCCGATCGATTCATTTCAATCTTTTTCTCTTTAACTTTTTCTTATTCTCATTTTCTTTTCATTTCCCGTTCTTTGGCTGTTGTAGACGGTCTGTGACACCATTGCTCTTGATTTTATACATCTAGGTTTGAGAATGGAAGTTAATTGATCAGCCTAGTACATAGTGTGGATACTTCTGCCTAAAGCGTTCACTATATATAACAAAAACAAGGAACCTGATGGTTTAATCCAGTTGGAAGAAAGAGTAGTATCGAAATAGAATTCTGTTTGGGAAATTTCCAACAGTTGAGATCTTCAACATCTTCTTCTTCTCGGCCAAGCTCGGGCACTGCGAGCTTTGGCAGTGCCCATGGACGCCACAGCGAGTGGAGCCCCTTCGGTGCATTACCATAACATCGTCGACCCACCTGTAGCTGCTCTTGTTGTCCCTCCTTTACCAACATTTCAACGCCAACAACGCCATTGTTTCGGAGAATCTACACCAGGAGAATTCCCCTTGGCAGCTAACCCCTCCATCGTTCTCCATGTCCTCACGGACTGTAATTTGGACCCTCAAGATCTTGCGAAACTTGAGGCAAGTTCCCTGTTTCTGTTCTGTTTCATGATGAAGCAATTTCTCTTCACTAGAATTGATAATGCTGCTGATTGGGTTACTGTGGTTGCTGCTGGCAGGCAACATGCTTCTTCTTCAGGCAACCTGCAAACTTCGCCCCCGATTATGAGCTTTCCATATCGGAGCTCGCTGCTCTGGACATGTGCCAGAAAAGAGCCATATTTAAACCGATGACGGTAGAGGAACGAGAAGTTCTGAAACAGAGGTGTGGGGGGTCATGGAAGCTAGTCCTGAGGTTTTTGCAGGCTGGAGAGGCATGTTGCAGGAGGGAGAAATCACAGGCAATAGCAGGTCCAGGTCATAGTATTGCTGTGACATCAAAAGGAGTTGTTTATTCATTCGGGTCCAACAGTTCTGGCCAGCTTGGGCATGGCACCATGGAAGAAGAATGGCGGCCTCGCCAAATCAGGTCAATAAAATCCCCCATTCGTCTAAAATGAGCTCTAGATAAGAAAACAACAAACATAAAAAAGAGAAAGGTAAAGAACGATTGAATCCCATTAGTGATCTGCAGGTCTCTGCAAGGCATTCGGATTATCCAAGCGGCAGCTGGTGCTGGCAGGACGATGCTGATTAGTGATGTTGGGCGTGTTTATGCCTTTGGAAAGGATTCATTTGGGGAAGCTGAGTATGGGGTTCAAGGAACCAAATTCGTTACAACCCCACAGCCTGTAGAGTCCTTGAAGAACATATTTGCCGTTCAAGCTGCGATTGGGAACTTCTTCACAGCTGTTCTTTCCAGAGAGGGTAGAGTATATACATTCTCTTGGGGCAGTGATGCCAAACTCGGTCATCAAACTGACCCCAATGATTTGGAGCCTCATCCTCTCTTGGGCCCACTAGAGAACATTCCCGTGGTGCAAATCGCAGCTGGGTACTGCTACCTTCTAGCTCTGGCCTGTCAACCCGGTGGAATGTAAGCTTTCACGCATTAATAATAATAATAATAATAATTCATATTGTTGTCTTGAGTGTTGTGTCAACCTGACTGCAGATGGTTGGTTTAATTGGGTTTTGGTTGCTATTTCCTGCCTCACATGATCAGGTCTGTATATTCAGTGGGGTGCGGCTTGGGGGGAAAGCTTGGACATGGTTCAAGAACCGACGAGAGATACCCTCGGTTGATTGAACAATTTCGGGCTTTGAATCTTCAACCAATTGAGGTTGCTGCTGGTGCTTGGCATGCTGCTGTAGTGGGGCGGGATGGAAGGGTCTGCACCTGGGGGTGGGGGCGCTATGGGTGCTTAGGTCATGGGAATGAAGAGTGTGAATCAGTTCCTAAGGTGGTTGAAGCCTTGAGCAAGGTGAAAGCAGTTCATGTTGCCACAGGGGATTACACAACCTTTGTGGTGTCTGAAGATGGTGATGTCTACTCATTTGGGTGTGGAGAATCGTCTAGCCTGGGGCACAACACTGGGGCTGCTGATGGCCAGGTCTATACTTGTTATAATCCTTCATCAATTCTTTCTTCATAACTAGAGTGCATGTGAATTGCTTTGTATGCATTTGTGCTTGTCTGTGTGGTTAATGCTATTGCTGGGAAGAGATCAGGAGAGCTACAAAATAAATTCCAAATTGGACTGATATATTGATTGATTGATTGGGTGTGTCATGTGTGTTGTTATTTACAGGGAAGGCATACTAATGTGTTAAGCCCAGAGCTTGTGACATCACTGAAGCAGGTGAACGAACGGGTGGTGCAAATTAGCTTAACCAATTCCATATATTGGAATGCCCATACATTTGCGCTAACGGAATCTGGGAAGCTATATGCGTTCGGTGCAGGGGACAAGGGACAGCTTGGAATAGAACTTGTTGCCGACCAGAATGAGAGGGGGAATCCGGAGCGTGTTGATATTGATCTAAGCTAACCATTACTTGCTTGCCGTCAGATCGTTTAGTTGGTCAACATCACTTGATATCTCATTTGGTTTCTAATCTCTTTGTTTATTTTGTACATAGTATGTACAGTGAAGGACCAATGTAGGGAAGGGGGCGCCTCAAGTGAGAGCTGAACCAAAAAAAAAAAACAAATGGATAGCCTCAAGCAGTTAATAGCTGATACACTTTGTCAAGATTGTTTTATAACTTATACTTCTCTTCAAGTCTTCAGCTTCAGTTGGTTATTCCCACTTGTGTAGTTTAGAAGTGGGCGACCTTAGTTCCGTCGCCGGTTTGGCTCTAGGTCGAGTAGACATGTGGATATGGTATTCTATACTCTATAGTTTGGGCATTAACTGGGTTCATTGCTCCTAGGCCGATTGCGTGGTCTCTCTCTCTCTCTCAGTGTCTTCTCTTGTTTAGCGATTTTTATTGCATGGTCTGATATTTAACTGAATGGGATCAATTAGCTATTTTTGTGAGCAAATTGACGATTGTTGGGGGTGGGCGATGGTACCGATGTTTTTAGAAGTGTGTCTTTGCTCTCTCACATGAGAAAGTGAGGTATGTGTACAATCATAGGTTTGGATTATTAAATGAGAGATAGAGAGAGCAGACAGAGAGGTGGAGGGGGGAGGGAGTGAGGCGCATAAAGATAGATGGGAGAATTAATGGAGGTTTTATATGGTTGTCTACTTGTCTTCAACTTCTTTTTTTTTTTTTTTTTAATTTTTACCGAAAGAAAAGAAAAAAGAAAGCTAAAATCTTCTTTTATATCTATATATATATATATAATTTTAAAGAGGAAAACGAAGCTAGTAAATCTTAGGGGTGTCAATGGTATTCAAAATTTTGATTTTGAAATCGAGATTGGACCTAATCGAATCGAATTCATTATCTAATTGGTCGAATTTGGATATCCTATTCTTACTGAATACTTAATAGGATTAATTTGAATATGAATTATTTAATTTTTATATATAATATATACAATTTTTAAATGTTTTATATAATTTATATACATAATAATTAAATTATATATTAATATTCTTTATATAAATAAAATATTTATTTTATATATTTATTAATTATTTAAAATAATTAATCAATCAAATATTGGAATATTTAATCGAATTTGAATTCAAATATTAATTTTTAATATTTGCCGGATATCAAATTAGATTCGGATATTGAATTTTTTAATCGGCACCCAATGGCAATGGTCCAAACCAATGAAGTATCTTCCCTTTGGGCTTTCCAATTAGGGTATATTTGGTTTGAAGGAAAAAGTAGGGAAAGGAAGGGACAGTAGGGTATGGTTTTTACTTTCTACTTTGCAGCCAATTAGGGTATATTTGGTTTGAAGGAAAAAGTAGGGAAAGGAAGGGACAGTAGGGTATGGTTTTTACTTTCTACTTTGCAGCCAAAGCCATGTCATGCGGTTTTGCATCATTTTATCTCTTTGCTTGTGTCTTTCTATTTATTTAGGAGGATTAGGAAACGTTCTGTAATGGAACAGTGGTACGTTGTCCAGGTCAGGCGTTGCACCACTGTAATTGTGTAATGGTCCATCCCTCCCTTAGCATTGTAAAATTTTAATAGATAAAATCTTAGAAGAGTTTAAACTCACTCTTAAAAAAATATATTCATTTACAAAAAAGTGATTACTCCATTCTCTTAAAATTCACACGTAGCATCCTAATCTTTAAAAAGCGGCCACTTCAAATGTTATGGTAGTAACTGAGTTTTATTCAAACACAACCATTTCAAAAGTAATGATTAAATAAATAATTTAACTTAAAAATATTCAAAATATTAAATAGATAAAAATAAAAATAAATGAAATTCATAAAAATGACTAAACAATTAATACAAATGGTGCGAGTTTCATTCTTTTAGATGAAATAGTTTGTTTATTAATTGCAAACTAAATTTAACTTTTTTTTTGGAAGCGTAACCTATGTTAGTTTTTCTAATTTAATTTTTTATAGTAAAATAGTAAATTTCAAATTAAATGATAATGTAGTTGTCCCTTAATATGGGGTCATTGTCTAGATAAAACATGATAATCTCTTAAATCAAATAAAAAGCCTAACCTAAGGCCCTGTTCACTTTTTGGTAAGTTACTTACCCGAATAAATGCAGTTAGTTATCTGGATAAATTTTTCTTGGGAAACACTTACCCGGCCGGGTAAGTGCATTTACCCATGTTCTTTTATTTTTCATGTAAATAAGGCAATGGCCATTTTAGCCATAAATATCCACTATTAAAAGGGGCATTTTTGTCCCATTCAAGTGTTGGCATCTTTTTCCCTAGGTGGGAAAGTTATTTATCCACCTAGGAGATGGGTATCACTTACCCTAGTAAGTGGTACCCAGGAAAATAAACTTTCCCTAATCCCCAAGTAAATTTAAAAAAATAACAAGGGATTCTTGGTTTCCCTCTCTCAAAATCTAAAAAAAAGAATACCTCCAAAATGTCTAATATAAATAATTTAAAAAATTAAAATAAATCAGATTAATGGTCCCATACTTGGTACGTACGGGGGTCATTCCTAGTACGAAAATAAAGGGATCTAGCTCATTGTATTGGAACCCAAACATTTGACTCACTTTTGGCAACAAAGAATAAATAGTACATAAAATAAATAAAACATGAAAACCAGAGTAGAAGAATATTTCACTGAGCTTGAGCCAGATCCATAGGAGGGGACAGAGTGGATTCACCGAGTTAATCAATCAATGTGGAGTTAAATGGTAAATCCAACCTACAAGCTAAGCGCATGGAGAATTCAGCAGAATGGGATGAGTCTAGCAAAACGAATTCTGAAACGTTGGTAATTAGCCATTTCTCATGTTGCATCATATCCTGAATTCATTAGTCCTGCTGATGGGATCTAAGTTCAACTAGGGTCGGTCTAGGGAAGCTCACTAGAATCATTCTGCAACTTGTTATTCCCCAGAACTCATCTTCCTTTCCCCTCTTGGGTTTCAAGTTTCAACATCCCGTGTTGCCATCAGTGATGCCTACTTATTGCACTCCTGTCCTTCCTGCTCTTTATTAATGCAGCTTTCACCTTCAAAATTGCCCTCAACTTCTGATATGATTTCGCATCTAGCACTTGCTTGCTTTATGTGATAATAAAATGCCTTTAATCGAAATCAGACACAAGCGTCTGTAATTCTGTATCATATATCATGGTAGAGCAAATAATAGAATCTGGGTTTGGATTAAGAGCAGTCACCTTGTTTGGTTTTGGCCAACCCAACCCATCAAGGAGAATGTTATATGTCACTTGCTCTTTCAATCTTATCATTCAGCATTCATTTCCAAATTTCCATCAGCCTTTGGGTGTCACCAGATTGCTTGAATGCATGAAGAAGAGTGGATGTCACTCATCTTCTATTCTTATATATACGGATTGATATAACCATAACACGATGATTGTGGTGGATCAAATGTGAAGTCATGCCTTGCCTCCCTCAAACTGCAATTAATATACAGATGTAAGCACATACTGGGGCCTTCAACTTCAAGCTCAATACACCCCCATTTAAAAAATAAGGGTTTGAGTTTGACCCCTTATAAGTTATAAGCTGGCTGCTGGTAGCAGTTTTGGCACCTGGCATGGCGAATTGGCGATGGCGTGCTTCTTCCTAATAAGTAATCGAGTTGCCGGCCAACAGCTAGGGAGATATCTAAAAACAGAAGGCACCTTTTGTTTAATTGACCAACTGACCAACCCTTCTTCATTCATCCATCCATCCACTGCCTTTACGGTTGGACCAACCTGGTCAAGAGAATTCCCAGTCTTTTTTCTTTGCTTAGTGCTAGGTTGCCGGCTCTTAAACCTTCTTTAGCTTTTAATAATAGAAGTAGTCGTCCCATCCCATTTTAGGCTTATCCACTGTTTCATTCAATTCGAGGCTAATCAAATTTTCTGAATAGAGAACTCCATGATGTTAGTGATTGACCTTAGGAAATTGGGGAAGCACTCGAGCTAGCAATTGAATCAGCTTCTCAACAATTTTCTTTCTTTGGTTGAAAAGAAGATTCATTCACATTAAGGTAGAAGACAAACAGGACAGCAAGGAATCGGCTTCAGAATAATGGTTGATATATGGAGATGCCTTTTCCTTGAGAGTATCATTTCATATAAATTATTACAACATCAACACTTGTTGATTTTACTTCAACTCATTTCAGCAGAATGAGTGCCAACTGCCAAGGCTACGAATTGGTCATCCCATAAGTCATAGATGATGCTGTTACATGTCCTGGACCGCCATCCATGGATTTTCTCATCCCAAGCCAGGCCACTAATCCGAAATTTCCTATAGCCGTATAGCGAATAGCCTCAGTGCGCTAAAATGAATTGACCCCATTTTCGAACATGACCAAAGGTGGCCATGAGTCGAGTTTTTTATGAGTTATTGGACGAACTCGGTTAATGAAAAGCTCGATTCAATTTTGTATAAATCAAGTATAGAGTCAAGTTCAAGCCCAATAAAGTTCGGCTTGCGAGTGATACAGAAACACCCTTTGTAGGTGTATATCAAGAAGGGCGTATCAGCCTATACTCAAACTGTTTTTTTTCGAATCTAGTTCAGAGGGACAGGTTTAAGACTGATCTACCTCCTGAACCACTCGCTGACCAGAAACACCCTTTGTAGGGATATCAAGAAGGCCCCGATACGTGACAATACATACATACATATATATATATATATATATAATTTTTATTTTTATAAAACATTTAGTTCATAGTTGAACTCAAGTCATGTTGACCTCAAACTTACGAGCTTTTGACTCGAGCCAATTTTGAGTTCAAACCTCATAGTATATTAGCGAACTGAACTCAAATAGCTAGATATTCAACTCAACTCGACTCAAATCCATCCCTAATGACCATGTTTCACGGATCAAAATATCAACACCCCATACCAAAAACTGGGTATTCGATAAGACTGATGATCTTTTTTTTTTTTTAATCAGCCCGATAGAGATGCCTTCTATAATCCCAAACTTTCAAAATCCCCCAACCTTGTGTTTATCGGCGTATCCATGATTCTCTAATCCCCATGGCCTTAGATTATCCTTGCCAATTTGTCATATTTTACCCTTTTGTAGAAAACAGTCAAAATAAGGGGACCTGGGGCCGGACAGTCACACCATCCACAGTGATCAGTGGGTCAAAACCGGTTCATGTTGGATAAAGTCCAAAGCCCAAAGAAAGAAGACCCTAGTAATCAGTATGTCTAACAGGCCTTAGAAGAAACAAAGGAAAGAAAGAAAACAACCAACAAAAATAAACCATCCCTTTTTACCATTACCTTGTTTCTACTGCCAGTTGGTAGATCGAGCCAAAATCAATACCCCTTTGCCAATCTTTTTACCAAAGCTTCGTATGTTATAAATGGGTAAGAGATTAAGGGATGGAAATATTCAGTCTGAAAATATTTCAGCCGGTTTTCTGACCACTTCTACAGTGAAATTAAGCTTTGTCGCCCCTGATAAAAAAAAGTACAGGATAAATAGAACAACTGATAGCTACGATAGCATGAGAATACTCTTTTTCCTCTTATAGCCAATGTCTAGATTGCAAAATTTATATTATCATGAATTCATGATTCACTAGGCCACTTTAGCTGCTCGATGTAGTAGGCCCTATACAGATTGAAAAGGACACCAGTTAGCTCTGATGTACATCAATTTGTATGTGATTTAGTGTACACAAGTTAGCTCAGAAATGATAAATACTCTTTTGTATGGCATTGGTGTCACTAATCAATTCCACATGTTTCAAACCATGTTTGGCCTTTGGGGAAGCAAAAGATTATAGAACTTGTCATGCAAGAAGAAATTCCGGCCCTTGCTATCAACCGCCTTTTTCCACCCACACCAACCACCATTCACAATCTTCTTCAGATCATCATTACCCGTGTAGTGAGGATCCAGTATAAGAAAGGCACAATCTCCACTTGCTTCGTTGTAGTCAACTCCCAAGAGAGTATAGGCTAGAACACCACCACCTGCACTTCATACCAAACCACAAACTATGAGGGCCCTGGATGGATGGTTCCACCCATGACACACACTGGCATTCTGAGCTTTACATCAGCATGTGCCTCAGATGGAATACCATTTCTATGCCATAGTGGACTCTCCGTTTGGTATACCAATTGTGTGTGATAAACTTTTCAATCCTATAAATAATATGGAAATTTCTGAAATGGTTTCATCTCTTCCCCTGATAGAAAAGGGTAAAGAAAAGGTTGGTTGGGTTTGCATACTGACCAATCATGACTGGAGTTCCTTGTGTTTCAAAATGCAAGGCCAGTTCTCGACATTTTTCAGGAAGTTCAGCTCCAGATCTTACATTTATGACTTTGCAACTTACCTGTTCAAACAGAAGTTCATTCTGTCAAACCCACAAATTATTGTGTGCATGTATGTGTTTATTGCTACTGTTGGACATTTTTTACAGCAAATATTGACTGCAATTCTGGAGCATAGCAATCAGATGCTACAAGTGATACTGATTAATTTTGGTATTTAGCCAAAAAATACTTATCTTTTCAAATACATGGCATACTTACACCAAGAAGTTTGTCCAGAACAAAACTTAATTCAATGGCACCAATCCATTCACGTGATCCAATAAATGAGGGCTCCTTATCACCGATCTCAACTAGTGCTTGTTGTATTTCCCTGAGAAGAAAGAAGTACTAGCTCATTGGACCAAAATTCTTCGGTTAAACCCTCCATTAAGCCCAAGAGACTTATTTCTTAGGGGTGAAACTTGGGTGTTGGGTTAATATATATTATGATCTTGATGGCGTATCTTTTCTACCTGTGTGAAGGAACATCAATAGATGTGTAGTGTTGGAGTCTAAACCATGAAATGATGGTCTGTAGAGAGCGATAAGCACATCCCCATCCCTGAAGGGCAAGTAATATGACTGATTAGAGCATAAAGCTGAACATTAACACAGAACAAGAAAAAGCTGTGGGAGGAAGTCCAATGAATTTTCAGTTGCAAATTCATTGTAATTTTTTATCAGCAATTAATTGCAGTTCTTCCACATGTTGAACGGGAACCATATTCACCAACCAGTGACTAGAGATGTTTATTTCAACAGAATTCAGTCTCTGTCGGAGAATTTGTCCCAGAGAAACTAACTAGTTAACCTTTAGGCAGAAAATCTCATTTCTGTGTTTTCTATATGATTTCCTTCCTTATGAGTAATGAGTAAGAAATTGTCAGAAGGAAATAATATCTAATGTACCCAATTAGCAAATTACCCAAAAAGACCACCTTTGGATTAGGCCTGGTTGGCACCAAACCGCGTTGTAGTCCTAGTCAAAACCAGGTTGGTGAAAGAAAAACTGATTAATGGAAAGCCAAAGACAGCATAGCTAAAGGCTTCTTCTATCCTAACATAGAAAAAATGTGCCTAAGTGAGAGTCTAAGTCTTAGATATGCAAAATGCAGGTAGGATTAGGAACAAAAGTTCAGTACATGATGAGGCTTAAAACTTAAAAGAAAGGAAGTGGGGGAAACGGGGACAAGAAGAGAAGAATTCTCTTAACTTTCTATAAGACAAGCTCTCCATAATGTGAAGAAAGCACTAAATTGAATGAGCATACAAAAAGTTTTCTGTAATTCTTAACCACATCTGAGATTGAAATTTAGCAAATAGAAAATTGAAAGACAGGCAGAACTTATATTAATCTAAAAGGTGATAAAGCATAAGGCAAAGGAGAAAGTCCCTTACAGAGTCATCAAAGCCATCTTGAAGATAGTGATAATATTCATAAGACCCTTCAACCTGAGATACAAGGCCCCCGGAAACTGCAGAAGACACAAAGATATTAGATACAACTAATAGCCAAAATGCTATTCTTTTCACGCTCACCACCCTGAACCTTTATAAGCCTAAATAGAAAGAAGAAATAGTTATAACAGACTAACTACCACTGCTTGGAATTCCAATGTGCACATCTTTAAGCACAACAGAACCTGTAATTATCATTTAGAACAATTCCACAAGTTAAAATTTTTGTAGAAAAAAGTTTCAGCATAAACAGGCAGGACTGGTTAAACTGGTTGCTGCCCATCCAGGAGTTAGGAACTACCCTTTCTTATTGAGTTTCTCTCCATTTTATGCTTAAGAGCAAAATTTATGGCATTCGCAATTAGTAGAAGAGGTCGATCCAAAGGTAACCCTAGCCTTAGATGCAGGGATCTCCGAATTTCAACTGCAAAATAAATAAATAAATAAACAAAAGCTAAGTTGTCAAAAAAAAATCAGAGGCACATCTTGACAATCTATGTTCTGCTACAGTACATTTTTTATTGATAGAATCCATATCTCTTTGCTGATACAAAAAAAGAGAGAAAAAGATACTTTATGATGTGCAGGTAACAGCATAAGAGAATCCATATCCCTTTTCATCCAGTCTTCAATTTCTTTCAAAAAAAAAAAAAGAATCCCCCATTGATACACAAATCTAAGAATAAAAAATAAAACTAAAATAAAACCATATTTGATGATTTAACATGGATCCTCTATTTTCATGATTCTAGTAGGTTGTGAGAAATCTAAACCAAGGGTTCAAAAGGCCATAGGTTGAGGTCAAATCAACCAAATCCAATCTAGATTGAAAGTTCATGATTCTAGAAGTCCCTAGAAATGTAGACTGTGAGGTTGGTTGACGACAGCCACACCCTTCTGTGAAACCCAAAGTACCCAAGCAAACTTGACATAAAATGGCTCTTGCAGTTTAACAATTTGGGTACACACCCACCTATTTAGCATACACAACCAACATTAATTATTCACTTCTGTTACAGAACACTGCAATAAGTTGAATATATGTAATGCCCATACTTCCCATTTGACCTTTTAATACTATATGTTCTTTTATTAGTAACATATTATTTTATTGAGTTGAAATGGGAAGACTTATGCACTATAGATATTTACCATATCATTCAGAATTTTTTTTTGATCAATAACAACAGATTTCATTAAATAAAATAAGGTTACAAAAAAAGGAGAGCTAAAGAATCTTAACTCCCCAGGGAAAGGATAAATCCCAAGCTGAAATAGAACAAAACAATTACAACTGAGCCCAGAACCCAGAAATCCTATTCACTCCTTGCCTAGCCAGACCATCAGCAAACGAGTTTGCACTTCTCTTAACCCAATTACACTGAACTTCCATATTCTTGGACAACCATTTGAATTTCCTCTTCTCATTACTSTAACTCYARAGCTTAGAATTGTCTTCTTTCAACCAGTTCACTACCACCACAGAATCTCCCTCTACAATCAGTTTCTTGACCTTTAGTTCTTTAGCCCTTTGTACCCCTTTCAAGGCTGCTACCACCTCAGCCCTCAACGAATCCCCCACTCCAATTGTGCTAGAGAACATAGCTGTTATATTACCATTCTCATCTCGTAAACCCCCCCCCTCCCCCAATACCCGAAGGTCCTGGATTCCCCATGCTACTACCATCAAAATTTAATTTGATAAATCCAAGAGGAGGATTCCATGTAGTATTCAGGGTCTTCTTAGCCGAGACTGAACTTGCAATTTCTTTCCATTTCCTTAACATATCATCTGTTGAAAAATCTGTGAACTCATCCATTGTCTTCAACCAGTGTATTACCCTTATATGGATCACTTCCAACATATTTTCCAACCCTCTCTCCTTTTCTGAGAAAATCCTTGAATTCCTTTCTTCCCATATTGTCCAGCAAACAGCAACTCTCACACACCTCCACATGATCCTTGATCTTTTTGTTGGGCAATTAACAAAGGAAGAGGTAAACAAGCTTTGCACATTCGTTGGGAGAGTCCACCTGCACCCAAACAAAGAAGCAAACCATTCCCAAATATTTTTTACCAAAACACAGGATATTAGTAAGTGGTAACCAGACTCACCAGCAGCCCTACAGAGAATACACCAGTGTGGAGATAAACAACTATTGGGTCTTTTTCTTTGAAGTAAGTCACCTGTGTTAATTTTTTCCAGAAAAGCTTCCCAACAGAAACTCCCTCGGAGGTATAGGTCGACACCACACATCCTTGACAGGGAATGACAAGCCAATAGGACTTTCCAGATGCAATAGGGCTTTAAAGAAGGAGGCACAAGTAAAGGATCCAGAAGGAAACAAGGTCTAGATCCTACTATCTGTTTTTGTAGGCTCCAAGAAAACCCCACCAAGAATGGACAGGAGATTAGAGGTACAATTCAGTTCTGTGTCCCTGAGGGTTCTCAATCCCAAGTTCCACCCAAACCCAAAATTTGAATTGAGGGAACAAGGAAAGTGGCAATTGGTTCATTTTTGAAGGTGGAGTTTGCAAAAAGGGCCGGAAATTGGTCTTTCAAAGGAAGATCCCCAATCCACACATGTTCCCAAAACTTAATTGAGTTACCCAAGTGCAAATCATACCTGATCCAAGGAGAGAATAGAGGCAAAATAGCATGAATTGATTTCCATGGTGATGCTCTTGTTGCCATAGCCATAACCCTAGAGTCCCATCCATTCTCTGCAAGCCCGTGAATATTGCCAATTATCTTAGCCCACAACTTTTCCTTTTCCAATGAGAATCTCTACAACCATTTCCCTAGTAGAGCCAAGTTCCTCTTCCTAATATTCCCAATCCCTAAGCCTCCCTCCTGCTTACTTCTACACACCACCTCCCACCTAACCCTATGATCCTTTTTCTCCTCCCCAGGCTCCCACAAGAAATCTCTCATCAACTTTTCCAACTTGTCAGCCACCCCTGCAGGCACCTTAAAAACTGAAGGTAATAAACAGGCAGGTTAGCTAAGGAAGCCCTAATTAGGGTGATTCTTCCTCCTAGAGATAAATAATTCTTCTTCCAAGATGCAAGTCTCTTTTCAAACCTCTCCACAACCGGAGTCCAAAAACTTCCTTTCTGAGGATTATCTCCAAGAGGAAGACTGAGGTAAGTTAGAGGCCAATCCGACACTTCACATTCCAAAATGTTTGCACATGCAAAGATCTCACTTTCCCCCATATTCACACCCACTACACAACTTTTATCAAAGTTAACTTTTAGATTTGACATTTGCTCAAAAAGTTGTATAGTGTGTTTCAAATTCCTAATCCAAGTCATGTCCCCTCCCTCACAGAAAAGAATCGTATCATCTGCGAACTGCAAGTGTGTGAGTGGTATGTTCTCCCTACCTATCCTCTACCCTTTGATTAAGCTCCTAGAGATCAATATCCCCAAGACTTCAGCAACCAAGGTGAACAAGAAAGGGTCTCCTTGTCTTATTCCCCTCAATGCCGGGAAGAAGTCCACCACCGTTCCATTCACCAAAATAGAGTAATGCAAGTCCTAATACACCCTAGCACCCACCTGCACCATCTATCCCCGAACCCAAAATTGATCATCACTTCCGGCAAAAAGGACCAATCTACCAAGTCATAGGCTTTTTCCAAATCTAACTTACAAACCACACCCTTTTTCCTTGATTTCTTGAAGTCCTCCACATTCTCATTTGCTATAAGTATTTGATCATTTATCTGCCTACCTCTCACAAAAGCTCTTTGGTTATTTGACACAATGGTAGTGAGTACCTGTCTAATTCTAATAGACAAGACCTTCACAATGATCTTATACAAGCTATTAACTAAACTGATTGGTCTGTAGTCCCTTGGGTGTGTTGCTTCTCTCTTCTTGGGAACCAAAGCAATGAAAGTAGAATTCAACCCCGTATTATCTCTCCTCTTCTGTGAAACTCATCAAAGACCATCATTAGCTCATCTTTCAAAATCTTCCAACAGTCTTGATAAAATGCCAACGTAAAACCATCTGGGCCTGGTGCTTTTGATCTATCCATAGAGAATATTGCCTCTTTGTCTTCCTCCATTTCAAACTCTCTCCAATCACTCCCTATCTTTTCCACTTAGATTTGGCCACTCCATCCCCTCAATCCACACCCTATTACTTAAAGGCTTCCTATAGATAGATTTAAAATGGTTTGCAAAGGCCCTAGCAATCTCACCATGATTAGAAATGATTGTCCCCTCCACTTAGATTTGGTATTCCTATCCCCCTCCTTCAACCATTTACACCTTGACTTTTGCTTCCAACTAATTTCCTCCTTGAGCAATTCATCCTCCAATTGTTTTCGCAATTTCCACCTTTTTTCTTTGTCCTCCAATGTAATACAACCCCTCCCTTCCTTCACATCCAGATCTTCCAGTTGTGCAATCACAGCTTGCTTCCTTTCTTCTAGCCTCCCAAATTCAAGCTTATTCCATTCCTTAATTTTGCCCTTCAAAAATTGTAACTTCCTATGGAACCTCATCCCATACCATTCTACTGAGGGGTCACTTTCTAACCACCATTCCTTGATTTTATTAATGAAACCTGGGTGGTGTAACCACATATTTTCAAATCTGAACGGAGCAGGCCCTGTATTTCCCAATTCTTCCTCTCCAATCATAATAGGCCAATGATCTGAGGTTACCCTAGGTAGTGTCCTCGAGGTCAAATTACCCCAATGTTCCTCCCAATCTACTGAGAAGAGAAATCTACCCAGCCTAGAACAAATGGGATTAACTTGTAGATTGGACCATGTGCAGTTACTATGGACCATAGGAATCTCTTTAAGTTCAAACACCTCCACAAACTGGTTAAACTTCCTCATGCTTGTAGTCACCCTCTGCCTAGGATTATTTGTTTCTTCTGAAAACCTTACTACATTAAAATCACCTCCTATACACCAAGGTCCTTCCCACAAACCCCTTATATCCCCCAATTCTTCCCACATAACCCTCCTCTCTCTATAATCATTAGGCCCATAAACATTTGTTAAAACCTACTCAAATCCATCCTCCACCTGCCTAAACTTCAAACATACTGAAAATTGGCCTATCAACTCTTCCAATCCTATGCAGACCTCATTCTTCCAAAGTGTAATTATACCCCCTGCAGACCCCCAAGAAGGAGCAGTAACCCAATTGATCCCCCTAGCTCTCCAAATACTCCTGGACCATCTAGCATCAAATTCTGCTCTCTTAGACTCCTGTAACATAACTATATCTGGGTTTATCTTTTTAATCACCTCTTTAATTACTGCTCTTTTCCTAGCACTTCCCAAC